ACTGACTGTTGACCAGTCTCTCCTCTCCTACTTGGACCGCTGTGTACAGCAGTTTACTACATGACATCTGGCTGCCATCAGAGAATGGAACTAGCATGACTGCAAGAGGGAGCAAGATGGAGGCCAGTATCTTCTAATAAGCTGACCATGAAGTGCATCACTTTAGTCATGTTCTATTCCTTAGAAGTGAGTCATATAGATCCAATTCACATTTCAGAGGCAGGGATTATAGAGATAAAAGAATAGCAAAGGCAGGAATACCTGGGGAAGGGGCTATCTGGCCTCATGTAGGCAGAGGCCTTTCTTTTTGGAGGGTGGTTTTCTCAAGAGGTCAGTGACCTTTCATCTAAATGAAAGAGCTTGTGGATCATTCTAGTGGCTGGTCTGGCTTTACTAGGTGGCTGTGACTGCAAGTATACATTGCATGTGTAGGTTTCCTTTCCAGGTATGTGGGCAGACAGCAGGAGGGCAGCCTCAGGCTCTGCCCTGGGTGATTCCTCACCCTATAGTGTACATGTATGGAACCTGTGGCTTGTAACCAGCCACGAGGTATATGAAAGATGTGATGGGATGATTATTTTCCAGCTGGGTTTTGTTATATGGCACAGGGAAAGGGGTTTTTACAGAGGTAATTGTAAACCTCCATCAGTTGACTTTGAGGAAGATTTCCCTGGCTTCACCTGAGTTAGATGAAAACCCTCATGGAAGAGTCGACCCTTACCTACCCTCCAGGAATGCATTATTTCCCCAAGAGTCTGAGTGGGCTTGGAAATGGGCTTTCTTCCATCCAGACCTACAGAGAAGAATGTTTCCGACCAACACCTGGGTTGGTAGTAGCCTTGTGAGACCCCAAGCTGCTTTCTACCAAGCCTGCGCTGGACTCCTGATGACCAGAATAAACATGTGTGTGTTTTGCACAGTAAAAAAGGTCACGCAGTGTATTTCAGTCTGTCCTTTTTGCCTCTTCGTTTCTTCGTTCTCCCGCCCCTGCAATCCTTCGGCTGCAAAGCCAAGCTCCTTCTTCCTGAGCCCAGATTTCTTCAGAGGAGCCCTCTTTCTCCAGGTCTTAGACTGTCACCTGTGGGCATGCTATGCTACCTGTCCTGCCATTCCTGCTTTAATGGGGGGGGGTACAGAAGAGACAGTGAAAAGGAAAAAAAACCTAATTTCCAAGTGTCCTGAAGGCACTCTTTTGGGTTGGGGTTGGGTTTAGGCCACTCTCGCAGTGCTCAGGGCATAGTCCTGGAGATGCTTGGAGGATTGTATGTGGTGTTGGGGATCAAACCAGGTCTGCTTCATGTAGGCAAGTATCTAAGCCTCTGTACTATCCCTGAAGGCAACCTTTAACTGAAATGTCCAAGTAATCACCACATTGCCTCCCCCTTTCTTTGTTCGGTGGATTCTGAGTTCTGAGTTTTTCTGTCACTCATGCTGGTGTGAGGTGTGGCCTGGTATGATTTCTTCTACTTAGATCTTCCTCTGCTCTGATTCTACTTGGTTTTCTTTTTTCTGGGATTTCATAAAACTTCTAGTACATTAATGGTGTGTTTTTGTGTCTTTTCATACTGTTATGGTTAATTCTTTAAGCAAAAAACAATGTTTCTAGCATTCCCCTGGGGCCTTTGACATGAAGGGTGACAGATATGCTAAGGTATCAGTATGCTCTTGACTGTATACCTTGATCAGACTTTTTTTTTAATAAGAGGAAATAAAACATTGTGCTGATTTAAAATATTTTTAATAAAAAATAAAACATTTGTAATAAATTTGTCACATTTCTAATAAAATTGATGAGAAAGAGAAGAATGTTTATTATAATTACTTTTCTTGATTAATAATTATAATGCTTATTATAGTAACTTTCTTTTGAATGTTCCCCAAGATCTCTTTCTATGGAGACTTTGCTCTTATTTTTTCTTTTCTTTTTTCTTTCCTCTCATTTAACTTGCACAGATTTTCTTTTTACTCTCTTAGGGGTAATTTCTTAGAACAAGTGACTTAAAAATATTGCTGGCACTTGTTTTCTTCTAACACCAACAACACACATGATGTAAGTGCTGAGGATGTTGAGATGATTGAATCAAAATCGTGATTTTAGAATTAGTCTTCTGTAATAGAGTCTTGAACTTCCAAGTAACAAAAACCTTATTTCACCTATTTCACACTTGTTTAAATTCAAAAGGGAATTTTTGTTTTTAGACACAGCCTGCAATATTTCACTGAACTCAAGGTGAAATATCCAGATAATATGAGGGCAAGAATCAGAAACAAGAAAACTTGCTAGTCATTACTTTCCTGTCTTAGATTTTCTTTTTCCATTTTTAATGTGAGCAATCATCTGATTTATAAAAAGATGGAATGAAATTGCAATGACACCATTATCATTTTCAAAACAACATCAGGAAGTGAGTGCATGTAACCATTTTCAGCTCGCAAGACCCAGCAAATAATTTCAGAACGGAATAATTTCATGGACATGAAATAGCATGTTTAGTGAACCAGTAATAGAGAAAGTTGAAGAAAGTTTGTGAAACTTTATCTTCTAAGATTAGAACTGAGAGGCCAGAGACAGTGTAGTGGTAGGGCATTCGCCTTGTATGTAGTTGACCCAGAATCCATCCACAGCATCCCATATGGTCTCTTGAGCATGCCGAAAGTGATTCTTGAGTTCAGAACCAGTAGTAATCCCTGAAAACCAGTTAGGTGTGGTTCCCCCTATCCTTGCCAAACAAACAAAGCAAACAAACTAGAGCTAAGGGGCTTCATAATTACCTGGCATCTCTGTTCAGTGCTGCTTCATAATTAGAAATGTGCAGGATGAGAACCTCAGGGATCATCTGAAGCCTTTGTTTAAGGTCCTAGTCAGTAGTGGCCGTGATGTAACATGTGTGCTGAGTTGCTCTCAGTACTAAGGAGTCATCTGCATGGGTTCCTATGTGTGTGCATGATGACCATATCCATGTTACTCCTGAGAGTTACTCAATACTTTCTCCAATATCTCAGTTTTAGTCATTATACAGTTAAACAAGGGATATACTTGATATAGAGATAGTCCATTATTGATTGCATGAAGTCCAGTTTGGCTTTAGTGGAAATGTCGATAATGTCAGTATCAGTCAGGATGTAGTGTGGTGGACTCAGGTGTGTATGGCCTTAGAAGAGTAAGCAGGACTTCTCTGAGTCACTGGAATCTTCCTTTAGGTTGTTAATTTGGGCTGGTTGTGGGCAAGGCAAATGCCTTAATGCCTGTACTGTTTCTCGACCTTTCTGTTTAGAATTTATTCTGTCCTTTTCTGTCAGCCTCTCCTCTCTGTGTCTAAGCATTCATTTTATAGTGACACACTTCCTTGTCTTTGTTTCCTCATGTTCATGCTGCTCTTCTTCCTATTGTTCTTGTCTGTTTTTCTTCCAGAAAATTGGTTTATTCTTTTTTTCTCAGGAGACTCTATTTAATTTGATGTGGATATGGCCAAATATGGCTACCCAATAATGACAGCCTAAACTTCCACACTTCTAGACATAATCCCAGATTCTAAGGAGAAAGAATTTAATTTGATTAGCCTGGGCTAGTTTTCTCTGTTCTGATCAATTTAATCTAATCAGATTTTGCAGTATAAGCATGGCTGTTTTGGCCCATGTTTCCAGTGAGTGGAAGATCAGGCAGATACCTCAAAAAATGTTAGCCACAAGACTTCTATTTAAATCCAGCATGTTGGTTTTCGTTTTGAAGACAGTTCAGTTGGTGGTTAAGAACATGCACTTAGGGTCAGAGAGGCGTTCATTTGAATTCCAGCTCTGTCACCTACCAGCTTGTGTGAACCTCTGTGAGTACCAAATTCTACCTCTGTACAATTGGAATGATAAAGCTTATTTCATGGGGCTACTAAATTGGTTAGATGAGTGATACATCCTTGACACTCAGGGCATAGTATCAAGATAACTGTTAATAGTATTTGCTATTAATCACTGCTATTACTTTACTGTTTGAGAAAGATTCTATTAATGAAGAAACATACATTTTACCACTCTGACAAGTGTAAAAAGATCTGGCAGCAAAAGCCCAGATGTTTCATAATGGCATAAATAATGAATCTCTTAGAGAGAATTTTGCCTTTATCACATTTAGTCAAAGGCATGGACACAGATTAGCCTGCTGGGATTAGGACATCAGTAATCTATACATATATATATATATATACATATACACATATATATATGTGTGTGTGTGTGTGTGTATCTGGAATTAATGTTTTGCTTCTTTGGGTTTTATAAGGAAGTAGTCAATGGCCTCACAGTCTTAGGAGAGCCAGACTGAACAAGTGATCACCTGCTCTTTCTGGCCAGTACCTGTTCTGATGGTCACTAATTCATTCTGCTTGCTTGCAGATCTGACCTTATTAGCTAATGAGTGAAATATTTTGAATATCATCCCGGGAAACCGAGGGTGTGCTATTCATTGAAAGAATTGTTTCTTTGTTAAAGGAGATGCACTAATGTCTTCTTTCTCCTCCCTGCCCTTCCCCTTTATTTGCAGTGGGGGCATGCCCTGTAGTGCTCAGGGGCTATTCTTGGCAGTGTGCTCAAGAATGACCCCTTGTGGTGTTTGGGGAACCATATGTGATTTGGGGATTCCAAAATTAATGGAACGCAATGTAAGCACCTTAATCCCTGAACTATCCTTCTAGTCCTAGATTCACTAATTTCTTTATAAAACAACATATTTCCTTCTATTTGCCCAAACCCAATGTATTTTCTTTCCAGTTTTCTCACTTATGATAAAATTATACATGACATTCATCATTCACTGAACTCTCAGTAAAGGAGCTATAAAATAATAATGATGTAAATTCTGTATAGTTGAAGATGTAAGTTAATATTTACATAGAGTTAGCCAAACAATCTGTGTTCATGGCTTCTAGTATAAATGTAATATATGCTATTCTAGGTGGAACTGTAATAGAGCAATATCTTCATGACTAATTGTGTGATTTTCTCTCCAGTTATGCAGACATTTTGATTGAGAGGGAAGTTTTAATGCAGAAGTACATCCATCTAGTTCAGATCGTAGAGACAGAAAAAATTGCAGCTAACCAACTCCGGCATCAACTGGAAGATCAAGACACAGAAATCGAAAGACTTAAATCTGAGGTATTTCTCAGCTGAGAATTCCTGCTCATTGTTTCACTTTTATTAGTATCTCCTTACTGTTATATAAAGCTTATCAGAGCAAACCTTTAATCCCTCTCTACACCCATATGGCCTACGTACTGATGTGTACTAGAAATGAATATAATGTCTCTGCTAGGATTAGGTAAATATGTTACCACAAAATATCAGGATATTATGCTTATTAACACTTTGTGCTCCTGCTATTCTGAATCTGATTCATCAGTGAATTATGGAACTATATGGATTTTCAGCTTGACACTTATAGTTATGACAATGTGAGTCTGTCTGAAAGCTAGGGACAGGCTGGAAGAAGTCAGAGAGACTTTCTGTATCTAGGGAGCATAAGCTCTCACCTCTTGGAAAGTGTTTTTCAGGGAAGGTATAAGACATTTCCCGGGGGACAGGTTTTTTCTGAAATTGAAATTCCTGATTCTCCCATGTTCCCTTTGTGCCTCATACATTAACTTCTCAGCCCCACCTCTCTAGATCCTCAATTATGAAATGTACACTGAAACTCTATATGAATAAATGAATGGTGTGTGGGTTGGTGGGGGGAAGGGGTTATGAAAATTGTTTTAAAATAAATGTGTAATCTACTATCAGTAAATGTTTGGTTTGTATGCCTGTTTTATGAACCCACATTGTGTGAACATTTTTCAGGCGAAAAGTGGTCACAAGTGAAAAGTTTTAGAAGCACTGGCCTGGAGGATGATACTGATTCCATGTGAGAGCTGGCATGGTGGTCATGCTGGTCGCCCCTGGTCCTTTCCCTCACCCAGGAAACTCTGTCTCTGCAGAGAACTGGCTGTGTCTTTTCTTACCATTCTGTCACTTCTTTTATTTATTTATTTATATATATATTTATTTATTTATTTTTGCGTCACACTCGGCGATGCACAGAGGTTGCTCCTGGCTTATGCACTCAGGAATTATTCCTGGCGATGCTCGGGGGACTATATGGGATTCTGGGAATTGAACCCGGGTCAGCCGCAGGCAAGGCAAACACCCTACCCGCTGTGCTCTCTCTCCAACCTCCCCATCCTGTCATTTCTCATGGAAACAGTAATTGAAGAGCAATAGAGCAATACAGAGACTTGCTCCCCTCTTTCTCACAAGAGATGCATTAAGTATCTTCTTGCTTCAAGCACTAGACTGGGGCAGAATAAAAGCTACTAGTACCGATATTGTTGCTTGCGGAAACAAGGCAGGCTCCTCAGCATCACTTGTGAGTTTTTGTCACCTTTACTGCTGTTGGACATCTTTTTTTTGGGGGGGGGGGTGTCACACCTACCATTGCACAGGGATTACTCCTGACTCATGTACTCAGGAATTATTCCTGGCAGTGCTCAGGGGACCATATGGGTTGTGGGAATCCAACCCAGGTTGACTGCTTGCAAGGCAAATACCCTACCTACTGTGCTATCGCACCAGTCCCGGACATTTTCTTCTTTGTTTCCTCAAAACCTTCTTTTAAAAAGGGTCTGTAAATACATTTAAGGGGTTCCACCTACTGCAGCCTGTATCCATCACCCCGGTGGACAGAGTTGGGGTAGAAGCTGCTCTAACTGGCATCTCCAGGCTTCTCTGGTGATGATGAGTTGTAGACTCAGTGTTCACAGTGTTCACTGTATCATTAGTGTTAACTGCTCGATTCACCCCTGAAATCTGATCTGGTGAAAACAACAACAGAAAACTCAACTAACCTGCATTTTAAAAGACTATATCAAGCACTGTAATTTAACACAAAATTATTGTGTTCTTCCTTTGCCTCAGTAAGCTTGAGCAGATGCTTGTCTGCTCAGTGAAAGAGGTTGGCATTTGCTCCATGAGAAAAACTAAGCACCAAGTGATGTTCCCCGATATTTGTTTGTATGTGCTAATCTGTCTTCACGACATTCTATTTCAGTCTGAATATAGATTGTAGCTAAAAAACTATCCGTGGCAGGTATGTCTTGTGTGGTCTCTTGACAGGGACCATAATTTGTTCCCTACTCTTTTATTTTCTCACTTCTCTACCAGCAAATGGCAGACAAATGTATTTGGTGCTGGGGACAAAAAGCATAGACAAGTCAGAGGGGCAATCATGACCCCTTCCTTTAGTTTGTCAAGCATGTGCTGAAGTGTGTTGGTAAATAGGTTCTTAAAAATGGTGGTCCAGTGAGCTTTGTTACTTGTGTAGTTGAGAGGACATCTCATCCTGGGGCTGGAACTCAGGGCCTCATATATGCAGGACAAACGCTCTACCACTGAGCTAAATCCCTGGCTCTGAGACTGTTTTTTTTTTTTTTTTGACTGTCATTTTTTCATCCCCTTTACAGGTCACAGAATTGGAGGTACAGAGATGCCAGGTTTCAATTCTCCCTGAACCTTTTTGGTTTTTTGTTTGTTTGCTTGTTTTCTTGACTGGTTTGGACGAACCCTAGGGCTTCTGGGTTCCAACGTAGCAGTTACCATTTTCCCAGAGTACACAGTACTGGGCATTGTTTGGACCACCAGTGACTGCTCATGAGAAGTGACAGCTTTAAGCTGAGTTCACTCAGGGCATTCTGTACTTTTCAGCAAGGTGGTTGATATGTCACTAGGCTCCAGAGACAAGTTTGACTTGGTCCTCACTGGCTGCTAGGGCCAGGTTCAGAGCTAATGTTTTCCTCACCCAATTATTTTTTGGAACAACACACCCAGCCATGGTCAGGGCTTCCTCGTGGCTCCATGCTTAGGAATTACTCCTGGAGGTGCTTGGGGATCCATAAAGGATGCTGTGGATCGAACCTGGGTCTGCTATGTGCAAGACAAGTGCCCTACCTGCTGTACTATCACTCGATCCCTGTTCACCCAGTTCTCTCAAGCACTTTGTGTAGTGCTTTACTTAGTGGTATTACTAAACAGGCTGGGTTTAGTACCCAGTTCATGCTCCCCTGCTTCAGCTTCAAAGGAAGAGACATGCATAAAAACTGGATGTTTCCTTGATTTGGTGATGTTGATGTTTCCTGAGGATCTCATAGGCTACATTGAAGGCATAGTTTCCTTTGGGCCATGACTATGATCCAATCTGCTTCAAATTATGAAATGGACTCATTTTTGGTTCTAGATCATTGCTCTTAATAAAACCAAGGCACGAATGCGACCTTACCAAAGCAATCAAGAGGATGAGGATCCAGACATCAAAAAGATTAAAAAGGTAAGGAAACTGAGGAATTTCCAGCTTTGGGGATATTTCAGCTTGATTTTTTTTTTTTTTAGTTCTGGGGAATCCCCGATTGGACACGGTGCGAAGGATGCCAAAATTAGACTTTAAGATAAGAGTGTTCTCCACTGGGCTAATTGATGTTGTTGAACCTCTTGATTTTATGCTACTTTGATTTTATGCTAAGTTGATAATTGGGGTATCTTTCTCTCTTGACCTCTCTATTTTTCTTTCTTTTTCTTTCCTCTCTTTCTTCCTTCCTCTTTTTTCCTTTCTCCTTCCTTCCTTCCTTCCTTCCTTCCTTCCTTCCTTCCTTCCTTCCTTCCTTCCTTCCTTCTCGTTCTCCCTTTCTTTCTCTCTTTCTCTTTATTTTCCTCTCTCTCTCTCTTTCTCCTTCTCTCTCTCTTTTTGTCTGCCTGCATGCCTGCCTCACATATGAGAGGAATGTACTCTTCTGCTGAGACCCAGTTGTTGAGGTTTCATTTAATTGGGGTGGGAGATTACCCCATACCTGGCTGTGCTCAGGACTTTCTTCTGGATCTGTGAAAAAGGGTCATTCTTGGTGGTGTTGGGGGACCATTTGTGGTTCTGGGGAGTGAATTAGGATCAGTTACTTGCAAGGCAGTTTCATTACTTGTTGTGCTATTTCTTTAGCCCAATTTAATCTCCAGTGCTATGTAGCAATTTTTTTCTCTAATATGTAAGAAGATTGAGTAAACCAAAACATGTACTCAGATTTTTTTTGCTTTGTTGCCATTGTTTCTTGCTTGATTAACCTCCATATATTTGGCTGATCTTTTCGTTTTTGGGTCATTTATAACTGTCTGGTATTTGCAATGAACCAGACACTGGCACTCTGGTCTGCTGAGCTCGATTTATGCAATCTCATTTTCAAGTTTTATAATCTTGTCTTGTATCATGCATTTAATGCAGGTTTATTATTATAACCTGGAAAGCTTCACAGTTGTTGAGCTTTTCGTGGATACATATCTTCAAATATTTTTGTTGTTGTTGTTGTTGTTGTTGTTTTTGTTTTGGGGCGACATCTGGCTGTGCCCAGGGCTTCCTCCTAGCTCTGCAGTCAGGAATCACTTCTAGTGGGACTCGGGGGACCAGATGTTGTGTTGGGGATTGAACCTGGATTTCGTTTTGACCACAAATCTTTCTTTTCAAACTTCTTCTTAATTCTTTTAAGATCTTTTGTATGTGTGAAGAGTTTTTGTATTCCCTTTTAGTTGTAACAAAAATTTTGCTAAATATAGCTCCGAATTTTGAACTGCAAATGATTCTTAGGGCTTAGTTTCAATTTGTTTGTTTCTGAGGAAGGGCACACCTGCGAAAGCTCCGGGATGCTCCCAGTGTGTTTCTTGGTGGCAGCTTCTGAGGGCTGTCAGGGATTATAGCCAGGCCTCCTGCACACAGAGTAGGCACATTTGCCTTTTGAGTTAAGAAAAAAATACCACCATTGCTTTCTTAGAATTAAAATATTCTAAGTGAATTTGGTTTATGTTAAGTGCTACAAGATAAATAGGATTGTCATTCCTTCAATAGCAAGCTGTTACATGTAGGTTAATTTAACACAAAATTCAATTAACTTGATTTCTGGAAATACTTAGGTTAAATGGAAGAATATTAATAAATACTTTTTGCATTTAAAAATCTTTCTTCTTATTTTTCTCTTTCTTCCTTTTGGAGTGTGGTGGGGTGGGGGTGGAGATTGGTTTGGGACATATCCTGCTGTGCTCAGGCATCACCCTTGGTGGTGCTCAGGGAACTATATGGGTTTTGGGGACTGAAGCAAGCAGTGCCGGCCACATATAAGGCAAGCATCTTTTTTTCTTTTATTGAATCACCGTGAGATACAGTCACAAACTTTTCATGTTTGAGTTTCAGTCATACAATGTTCGAACACCCATCTCTCCACCAGCGTGCATTCTCCACTGCAAATGTCCCCAGTATCCACCCAACGCCCCCTCCCCCCCCCCCCCCCCCCCGCAGCCTGCAACCCTCCTCTTCCCTCTATGGCAGACAATTTTCCCCATACTCTCTACTTTTGGACATTATGGTTAAGGCAAGCATCTTAACCCTTGTACTATCACTTTGACCCCATTTCAAAAAATTGAACGATTTCTTTAAGGAACTTTAAAATAAAAACAACTTATTTAAATAGATTTTGAGATTAACTCTATTATCCTCTGTGTCTCAAATCAAACTAATGTCTGTTTGAAAAGATGTGCTTACAGATGAAGTAATGTCTCTGTTCTGGTCTTGACTAATATCAACACAATTTTTTGACTTTAAGAGACTAAAAATTGGAGCAGAGAGAGATAGTGCACCCTTTCATCCCCACACATGCCACCCCCAGCGTTGTTGGACGTCATTCTGGAGGACTCTGAACACTGCTAGGGTGGCCCGGATGGGCCCCCTACTCTCTGAGCATTGCTGAGGAGAGAGGGTGGGGGAACAAAAATTAAAATTGGCATTAATTCACAGAAATTTCCTCTTATTTCTATAAGTCTCTCCAAATCGGGTGCAGGGAGATAGTGCTGGGGATAACGTGACTGCCTTGCATGTGGCCAACCATGGATTAATCCCATGAGCAGTATTTATGCTCTGAGCACCACCAAGGAATGACCACTGAGCACAGCTGGCTGTGGGTGACCCCCAAGTCTCTCTAAATGATATGCATATAATTTCTCTCACATGGGCTGGAGCGATAGCACAGCAAGTAGATGCTTGCCTTGAACGCAGCTGAACTGGGTTTGATTCCTCTTTCCCTCTTGGAGAGCCCGGTAAGTTACTGAGAGTATCCCACCCACACGGCAGAGCCTGGCCAGCTCCCTGTGGTGTATTTGATATGCCAAACACAGTAAAAAGTCTCACAATGGAGATGTTACTGGTGCCTGAGCAAATCGATGAACAACAGGAGGACAGTGCTACATAGTGCTACTTCTGTACGATGTGGTTAATTTTTTTTTTTTTAATGTAGAAGTACTGCTGGGCTGGAGCGATAGCACAGCGGTAGGGCATTTGCCTTGCACGCAGCCAACATGGCCGACCCGAGTTCGATTCCTCTGCCCCTCTTGGAGAGCCCGGCAAGCTACCGAGAGTTTCTTGCCCGCACGACAGAGCCTGGCAAGCTACCCGTGATGTATTCGATATGCCAAACACAGTAACAATAAAGTCTCCGATGGAGACGTTACTGGGCCCGCTCAAGCAAATCGATGAACAACGGGAGGACAGTGACAGTGACAGAAGTACTGCTATTCAGCTACTGATTAAGCTGATTGAATTGGGCATGAACTTCACCTTAATTTTTTTTTTCATTTTTTATAATTTTATTTATTGAATCACCGTGAGAGCAGTTACAAAGTTTTCGGGTTTAAGTCTTGGTCATACAATGAAACACCCGTCCCTTCACCAATGCCCATTGTCCACCACCAAAAACCCGAGTATACCCCCATCCCACACCCTCCTCTACCTGTGGGGCAGATGATTTCCAAGTTACTCTCTCTCTACTTTGATTACAGTTAATATTTTGACACAAGACCCACTATTATTATTTGGGATTTTAGCCCAATACTCAGATCTGCCGAAAAGGCAACAGTAGACAATTTGTTTTCTATTGCTGGTTATGAATAACATATGATGTCACATGGCTGCAGTAGTGGCCACGAGATTTTGAAATTCCGAAATTTTAACAAATAAATCTGGAAGGATTTTTGCCCAAATTTGCGGGTTCTGAGATTTGTTCCTGACTCTCTGGGATCACAGCCGTTAAGCAGCTTGTTCAGGAGCCAGAGAGGCCGTTCATGGGCGGTGACTCCGGGTCTCATTGGGACGGGGACAAACGGGCCGGCTCCACCCCCATTCCTTGAGGCCCCGCATGTCTCCTCACTGCGGGCCCAAACCTGACTGTCCAATGGCCTCTGGCCGATGGTGGCCACCAAGCTGCCAAGGGGGAGCTGGTGGAGGGACAGCACCCTTTCCCCCCTGCGGTGGCCCAGTGATAGTAACCTACTGCGGGGTCTGGATACATTTCTGCCAAAAGCCGTTGGGTTTTGAGATTTGTTTCTGAGTCTCTGGGATCATGGCCATTAAGCAGCTTGATCAGGAGCCAGAGAGGCCATTTTTGGGCGGCGAAGCAGGGTGTCATTTGTATGGGGAGGAAAGAGCTGGTTCCACCCCCATCCCGTGAGGCCCCGTGTGTCTCGTCACTGCGGGCCCAAACCTCACTGTTGGCCTCTGGTGGATGGTGGCCACCGATTCGCCAAGGAGGAGCAGGCGGAGGGACAGCATCCTTTCCACCCTGGGGTGGCCCGGAGACAGTAACCTACTGTGGGGTCCGGATGCATTTCTGCCAAAAGCCGTTGGGTTTTGAGATTTGTTCCTGAGTCTCTGGGATCATGGCCGTTAAGCAGCTTGATCAGGAGCCAGAGAGGCCATTCGTGGGTGGCAACTCGGGGTCTTGTTGGGACGGGAAGGAAAGGGCCGGCTCCACTCCCATGCTGTGAGGCCCCGCGTGTCTCATCACTGCAGGCCCAATCCTGACTGTACAGTGGCCTCTGGAGGATGGCCGCCACCAGGCAGGCAGGGGGAACAGGCCAAGGCACAAAACCTATTCCCACTTGGGATGGCCCAGCTACTAACCTACTGCAGGGACTGGATGCATTTCTGCCAAAAGCCATTGGGGTTCGAGATTTGTTTCTGAGTCTCTAAGATCATGGCCGTTAAGCAGTCAGATCAGGAACCAGAGAGGCCATGCCTCCAATTGTGTAGCTGAGCCAGAGGTGGTTTGTAGTTGTGTCTCCCACATACCTAACTTTGGGCTGTTTACTTTCTTGGTAAACTTTGCCCCAAGTTGTTGGGGTCTGGCCAAAGGCACAGCAGCAATTTTGGGGTATCTGGAAGTCTGAAGGCATCATCAGGCTGCTCACAGGTACAGATTGACCTGCTGGCTGCTCCATACCCCCGATGATGTGGTTAACTTTTATTGTTTGATATAAGGCAACTGTATGCGATTGATAAAAGCTGACCATATCAATAAATAGATGACAGAATTTTAAACATTGCAACATAAAAGCAGCCATTTAAATGCATGATAATGGAGAACATATAGATGAAGTAGTGAAGTAGTATAAAAAAGTTTAAGAATGTGTTAAATAGATAACAATAATGCTAAAAAAAGATTTTTTGTAGTGATTTAATGCTTTCAATTACAAGTTTTCAACCTATTTGTTGCTAAATCTGTCACTTAGGTATAATAAATCCTAATGGTCACTGGTCACTATCCTCCCGTTGTTCATTGATTTTCTCGAGCAGGCCCAGTAACATCTCCACTGTGAGACTTTGTTGTTACTGTGTTTGGCATAGCGAATACGTCACAGGGAGCTTGCCAGGCTTTGCCGTGCTGGCGAGATACTCTTGGTAGCTTGCTGGGCTCTCTGAGGGGGCGGAGGAATCGAACTCGGGTCGGCCATATTGGCTGCTTGCAAGGCAAACGCCTTACCCGCTGTGCTATTGCTCCAGCCCAAATCCTAATAAATTGCCATATAAAATTTAAATCTAGAAAGGTTTTAATATTAGAAAAATCTCATTTTATTGGTCGTCAGGCAATGAAGGATCAGAGTTTAAGTTCATCCAAAGTATAGAGGCAGAGTCTGTGGGTTAATGACTGGTGTGTGTGTGTGTGTGTGTGTCTGTGTGTCTGTGTGTGTCTGTGTGTGTCTGTGTGTGTGTGTTGTGTGCCCATCCTGTCTTCCCAGCAACCAGTATTTTCCTAGATATTTAAAACACGTTCTGTACTTGTTGGCTAATATACACTGCTAAGTGCATTTTCTCAGGAATTCCACTGTTTTTCAAAATCAGAACCTGGGAATTTAGCATCTATTATTTTTTTTATAAAACTGGTTGTTTCAATTATTTGTTATAATTGTTATAATTTGTTATACTTGTTTAATTATTTGTTTCTTTTCACAAAATAATCTGCAAATTGTTAATGTGGGTTTTGATCATCTTACTGGGAGAGAGAGAGTCAGAGTTAACATGAAAGAGATGAAAGAACACTACATCCAACTTTAGAGTTTAGTGCAATGATGTGGATCATGAAATTTAGTTTATTCATCCATGAAATAAAAGATGTGATGAGCGGATGCCTAAAAGTTATTGTTTAAGCCAAATAAAAATTATAGTTTTTATAGGCATGCCTAAAAGTTATAGTTGAAGATAAATGATGAACTGGGTGCATGCTTTGCATGCAGGAGGTCTGGGTTTGATCCCAACTACAACATGGTCCTCCAAGCACTGCTGGTAGTGATTTCTGAGCACAGAGTCAGGTGTAACTCCTGAGTACTGCCAAGTACAGCCCCCCAAAATGGAACCAAACCAAATTAACCTAACAAAGCCTTATTTTAAAATGGCCTATAGACTTGGTACTTCTTCAAAGAGTAATTTGTAAATTACTACTTACATACCATATTTGGAGAAATAATATACACATTTAAAAAATGCTCACCATCACTAAGAATCAGAAAATTATCAAAAGCACGAAATATACTATCACCTCACACTCATTAAGATGACTGCCTGCTGCTGAAAAAAAAAAAGGAAATACCAGTGTGGATGAGCAAGTAGAAAAATTGGATTCTTGGGTTCTGTTGCTGAAGTTCTACAGTGATTCATCTGTTATAGAAAATAGTAGTTCCTTCAGCAACTAAAAATGAAACTATTCTGTGATCTATCAACTTTACATTTGTACACATCACCAAAGAAATCGATAACACGCTCTTCAGACATTTCATTCCCAAGTTAATTGCTGCATCATTTTCAAAAGCCAAGAGGTGGAAATAATAAAAATACCTTTATTCTAAACAAAACAAAAATCCCTGCCTTCAAGGAGCTTAAATTTTAATGAATGGAGACATACAATAAATTGTGAGTTAAATGTATAATGTGAGAAAAATTGACAGATGGTTGGTACTGGAGAGATTGTAAGGTGGGTAGTGTTTGTTGCCTTGTATGTAGCCAGCCCAGATTGATCCCAAAGACTCCGAGTGGTCCTCTGAGCTCCTCCAGGATCCCCTGAACTCAGAACCAAGAATAATCTTTGAGCACCACCAGGTGTGGCCCAACCTCCGCACCCCTAGTAAGAGAGAGAGAGAAAGAAAGAAAGAAAGAAAGAAAGAAAGAAAGAAAGAAAGAAAGAAAGAGAGGGGGGAGGGAGGGAGGGAGGAGAGGAAAATAGAGAAAGAAGAAAGATAAAAAGAGAGATTAAAGAAAGAAAGAGAAAGAGAGAAAGAAAGAGAGAAAGAAAGAAAGAGAAAGGGAGCAAGGGAACAAGGGAGGGAGAAGAGAGAAAGAGAAAGTGAGAAAGATAAAGATGGATATATGAGTAAAACATGGTTCAGCCATATATTGGAATACAGTACAATGAAATATTTTTCTGCCTTAAAAACAAAGAAATCCTGACATATATGATTCATGTTTCTGTGGCAGAAACTTTAGGAAATTATACAAAATTAAATAAGCTTCTAACAGAAAGAGATGCTGTATGCTCCACTTAGATGAAATAACTAGAGTCATCAGAGTCATAGAGCCAGAAAGTCGCATGGTGTTTACCAGTGGCTGTGGGAAGATGGAAATAGGCAGTTACTGTTTAATGAATGCAGTTTAATTTTGCAAGATAAAGAATTTCCAGAGATCTATTGTAAATAGTTCATATATATATATAATACTCCTGAAGTAAGTATTCATTTAGAAATGGTCAAGATGGCATTTAATTTTTTTTATTAAATCACCATGAAATACAGTTACAAAGCTTTCATGACTGACTTTCAGTACTAAAATGATCGAACACCCACCCCTCCACCAGAGCACATTTTCTACCACAGTGTTCCTAGTATCCCTCCCGCTTCTCCACCACCCACCCCATCCCACCCCCTGCCTTTGTGGCAGGCACCTTCCTTCTTACTCTCTCATCCCTTTGGGGCATTATGGTTGACAATAAAGATACTGAGAAACCATCATGTTTGGTCCTTAGTCTACTTTCAGCACACATCTCCTATCCTGAAGGATCCCTCCAACCATCATTGACTTAGTGGTCACTTCTCAAAATTGTATGCTATGATGTGTTTCTTTTCACCATCATTACATTTTTTGAAATAAGATTTTATGTTGTTAAATAATTGGCTTCTGTGTTATTCATTTCTTGAAATGTTAATAACTGGTCCATATGGTTATATTTCAGCATTCATATAGGCATACCTAGAGGTTAAGATATGGAGGAAAGTTGTGAAGTTGCAAAAAGTTTATTTTTAAATGATCTTCTTATTCTGGTATATGGAAAATGCCATTCCTTGTTGTGGTGCTGGGGCTGGGGGTTCACCACTGAAAAATCCAGAGAGATTGCATAAGGATTAAGGCGCCCCTAGTTGAATTCCTGGCACGAGATAGAAAGCAAATAAGTCTCAAACCTCCCTGAGTTGTTTTGTTTAATTTTGTTCTGTAGGTTCAAAGCTTCATGCGAGGATGGTTGTGCAGAAGAAAATGGAAGACCATCGTGCAGGATTACATTTGTTCTCCTCATGCTGAGAGTATGAGGAAGAGAAACCAGATTGTGTTCACCATGGTTGAAGCTGAGTCTGAGTATGTGCACCAGCTCTACATCCTGGTCAATGGCTTCCTCCGACCCCTACGCATGGCGGCCAGCTCCAAGAAGCCACCCATCAGCCACGATGATGTCAGCAGCATTTTTCTCAACAGGTTTGTCTTTTTTTTTTGTTTTCGGGACACACCTGGCGATGCTCAGGAGTTACTCCTTGCTCTGTACTCAGGAATTACTCCTGGCCATGCTCAGGGGACTATATGGGATGCTGGGGATTGAACCTAGGTTTACAGCATACAAGGTAGATGGTCTACCCGCTGAACTGTTGCTCCGGTCCCTTAACAGGTTTATCTAGACAAAAACTCATGTAAAAAACCCTTTTGTAGTTCATAAAAGAAGATTTGTTTGTTTAAAAAAATACTCAAGTTTTGTTTACTGAATAAAAACTAATTGTGACACAAAATGCTTCTAGTTGTGGGTTACAGAGAAATCGAAGTCTGCAAATGCAAAGAAACTTTCTTGGAATTGTAGCACTGTAGTACTTTGTGCCTGTTGCAGCGTCTCACTGTGAGACTTGTTACTGTGTTTGGCATATCAAATCCTTCACGGGGAGCTTGCCAGGCTTTGCAGTGCAGGGGAGATACTCTTGGTAGCTTGCCGACCTCTCTGAGAGGGGTGGAGGAATCGAACTCAGGTCGGCCAGGTCCTCTGCTTGCAAGGCAAATGCCCTACCCGCTTTGCTATTGCTCGGTTATATACAAATAATTCCAAATGATTGCTTCCAAGACCTTGGATGGTTACAAAACTTCCACTTTTTATTTTCAGAGGCTGGGGTGGGGGTTGGCCGGCAAAAGAGGTGCTCAGTTCACTCAGCCCCCTCCCACCCCCACCACCAGCCACAGCAATTTATATTGGTTGACTGGTCTGAAATCCAGCATGAGGACCTGAGTTCGCCTTAACTCTTATGAGAGTAGGTTTTATGAATTCACCTTCAGGAGTGCATGATTCTGAAAAAAAAAAAAAAAGAACATTATCATTTGTGGGATTCTGATTAGCTCAAATTTGCATACTTTAATTTTGAATCTTGGCACCTATATTTCTGATATTCTTCTCTATTTCACATATATTTTCTTTTAATTGTGTGTGTATGTATATTGGGAAAATAATCAGCCTCATAATTGAAATACATGAGATGCTTAATAGGTCTTTACATGTCATTTGTGTGGTTATATGAAAGTGTTTTAGGAAGACTTAGGATGAATGTAAGGCTCTCTAATACATTTATTTATTCAATAAATGGTGTCCTTTCTGCTGAGACATTTTCAGTGACCAAAACAAAAATTTCCTTCTTTCATGAAACTTAAATTTTGATGGAACAGTATAATATGTATTATATTACACTTGGGTGTGTGCTGTGGATAAAAACAAGAATGGGAAAAATGGATCATACTTGGGTGTTTTTCTTAAAATTTTAGTTTTTGTTTTTGTGGTACTGGGAATTAAACTCAAGTCCTCAGACATGCAAAGTGTGTGTTCTATCACTGAGCCATATCCCCAAGACTAATGATTTGTTTTTGAGTACATAATATATTTATATATATATTCAAAAGTCAAAATAGCATGTGAATTTCAAACAATCCCAATTCTCATTCTTAAGCATCTCTGCCAACTCCAATTCCTCACTCTCAACATATCACCATTTTTTATTAGTTTCTTACACGGTTAGACCTCACATGTTATTGTTGATAGGTTCTTAAAAACTGAGTCTTTGAGTGAAATCGCATACAATAAATGTCTGTCCTTGAATAAACGTTGTTTAGCATTCAGTAGGATTGTTTTTCCCCTCATTGTTACAATGAAATGATGTTGAATGAAACAGGGTTATTTTAGGACCTGCTATATATCCTCTTAGTATTTTGTGATGTGGTCGAATCAAGTATTAATTTTGTGTCTTACTCTACACAAAATGCAGCATAATTTAATATACTGTTGGCTATTTCACTTAAAAATATATTTTGGGCTTCTTTCCATAATACCTGGAGTATCCAAATTCAAGTTTGTTTGTTTTCATTATGGTGCCATAGTGTATATATAGAGTCTCTCTCTCTTTCTCTCTCTCTTTCTCTCTCTCTCTTTCTCTTTCTCCACACACATACATACACACATACACACACAGTTCATGAAAACCTCAAAGTTAATATCTGAGCAAACATGTGAAGTTGGTAAGGAAGTAAACCCTTTGGCTTTCTTTTGTTTTTCAAACTGAACCATCCTGAGATAAACAGTTACAAAGTTGTTCCTGATGGGGTTGCAGTTAGACAATGTTTCAACACCCATCCCTTCTCAAGTGTACATTTCCTACCACCTATGTCCCCAGTTTCTCTTCTGCCAGTCCTCCTCCTCCCTGGTCTGCTTCTACAGCAGATACTTTTCTTCTCTCTCTCTCTCTCTCTCTCTCTCTCTCTCTCTCTCTCTCTCTCTCTCTCTCTCTCTCTCCTTTTAGCCCTCTGATTTTCTAGGAGGAAAAGCGAGGTAGACAGAAAACTGACCTGGAGTGGCCCAGGACTGTCAGTGTTGGTAAAAGACACTACAGAGGCTTACAGATGTTTGCTTTTGCTCTTGAGTGAGGTGGTGAGACATTGGTGGGACTTTGAGCAGGAAAAAAGTGGTGCTATATAATTTAGGCTTTGAAAGTCTTTCTGTGGCTTCTCTGTTGAGAATCAACTATAGAAAGATCAGTGTGGTGCTGATTTCATGGTTGTAATAGGGAAGGCAATTAGCTTGCTATTGTGATCATTCAAACCAGAGATGATTGTAATATAGAATTACTTATTGTTTGGATTCTTATGCATTTTTAATATAGGACCAGTAATATTTGTTGATAAGTTTGAAGTGATTCTTTTAGAAAAAGAAAAAAAACAGGCAAAACTGCATGGAGACAAGAACAAGTTTGGGAAGAGAAGATGAGGATTTTTCATCTTGGAATTTTCCTACTGTGAGAGGCTATTAGGCATCTAAGTGGAGATTGTAAGTAACCAGTTGAGTATGAATCTGGAGCTCAGAAAAAGGATCTTTGTTGGGGATATGAATGTGGACTCCATTAGCACACAGGTATTGCTTAAAGCTGGCTAGTGTTTATTTGGGGAGAGGGGTTGGGTCACACCTGGCAGTGTGCAGAGCTAGTCCTGGTTCCGTACTTAGAGGTCACTCCTGGCAATGCTCAGGGGACCATATGTGGTGCCAGATATTGAACAGAAGCTGACCTCTGCTATTTCCCAAACCCCCTAAAGTTGTTAGTCTGAATGAGATTATAAATGAAGTACAGATGAATGCGAGGAGCAGAACAAGAACTGAGCCCTGAGACTTTTAAGCATTTTAGAAGCTAGGAAGAAGATATCAAGTCAGTAAAAGAGAGTGTAGGTGGTCATTTAGTGCTGTGCATGGAAAACCAGAAGAATGTATTTTCTCGGAAACAAAGGCAAAAAAGAATAAATGTTGAAGAAGTCAAGTGAAATGATAACTAAGTGCTGAATGTGGATGTAGTAATTGGAATTTATTGGTAACTGTGATAAAAGGCAAAAAACATATCTAGGAGGAGGGTGGAATTAGAGAAAGTAGGTATAGAACACTCCTTCAAGGAATGTTGTTATAAGGTGAAGCAGAGAGGGGCTGGAGAGTTAGTTCATGTATGTAGTTGGTTCTGCCTCTATTCCTAATACAGTATGTGGTTCTCTAAGCACAGTAGGAATAAGTCGAGCACAGAGCCAGGAATAGTCACTTAGGACCATTGGGTGTGGCCCCCAAGTTCCCACCCCCACTCAAAATAAATGAGACAAGAAACAGAAGTTAAAACACAGAAGTCTATAAAATATATGTGTAAGGGACTTAATGCAGAGCCCGGCAGTTTGCGGCAGAAAAGTGAATGGACTATGTGTTAATCCATGGCACCATGTCTGCCCGGGAGGGAAAGGGTATTGCTCACTTTCACCTTTTTCCTCCTCGACAGCAAGATGGCGGCCATCTCGGAGCTTTTTGAAAAGCCAGGTATGAGCTTTTTACTAGTGTTTATTCCTTCATTGTCTATTCTTCCCTCTAAGACCAATTTCTTAAAGCTGGCTAGTGTTTATTTGGGGAGAAGGGTTGGGTCACACCTGGCAGTATGCAGAGGCTACTTCTGGTTCTGTACTCAGAGGTCACTCCTGGCAGTGCTCAGGGGACCATATGTGGTGCCAGATATTGAACAGAAGTGACGGGGCAACTGAAACCTCATGGGAAGGGGGGGTGTTCCTGGCTCGTCCTTCATGCCCTACCGAGGTCACGAGTTGCCCCCATGAGCAGCTCTCCAGCATGGCCATGGCTCCAGAAGCACAAGGACTTAATGCAGAGCCCAGCAGCTTGTGGCAGAAAAGTGAATGGACTATGAGTTAATCCATGGCACCATGCCTTCCCAGGAGGGAAAGGGTGTTGCTCCCTTCCGCCTTTTTCCCCCTGGACAGCAAGATGGTGGCTACCTCGGAGCTTTTTGAAAAGCCAGGTATGAGCCAGTGGTGATGGGGAAACTGAAACCTCATGGGAAGGGGGGTGTTCCCAGCTTGTCCTTCACGGCCTACCAAGGTCACGAGTTGCCCCCCACGAGCGGCTCTCTGGCATGGCCATGGCTCCAGAGCCACAAAAACCAATCTCATAATTATCTGACTCTCGGCAGAAATACTTCCAGGCTTAATAAATAAAATATCAGAAATCCAGAATCATGTGGCCGCTATTGCGGCTGCGTGACATCATCTGGTTCTTGTAACCAGCTGTAGAAAACAAATTCTTTCACAATGCCTTTTCAGCAGGTCTGATTTTGGGGTGTAAACTCTAAACAATAATGGCGCATCTTTTGTCAAAACAATGAATCTAATCAAAGTAGATAGAGTGCTAATTAGAATTCATCTGCCTCACAGCATTGGGAGGGGTGGGACGGGGATACATTGGGGTTCTTGGTGGTGAAAAATAAGTACTGGTGAAGGGAAATGTGTTTGATCATTGCATGATCGAGACTTTAACCTGAAAGCTTTGTAACTTTTCCCACAGTGATTCAATAAATAAATTTAAAAAATAAAATAAAATATATGTGTATATTTTAAGATGGGGTTCAAAATTATGCCAAAAAAAAGGAGGTGAGAGTTGCTGAAAGTTAACTTGCAAAGGCAAAAGTGGTATAAAACCAAGATATTGGTCTTAGAGTGAAGAATAGACAATGAAGGAATAAACACTAGTAAAAGGATTTCAGACGAATAAGAAGGAAGTGTTAGATAGAGGGAAAGATATGTAGTGATGATCAAAGAGAACAGAGAGTAAATGGATCAGGAAATGTTGTTACTAGGTTGTGCTTCATGACAGCATTAACATGTTGGACCAGTAGTTGTACTTTATAGTGTGATGAGTCAGGATCATGATGACGCATGTTTTCTTTTAGCCACAGCAAGAGAGAGAGAGAGAGAGAGAGAGAGAGAGAGAGAGATGGAGAATGGAAGAGAGGGAGGAGGGAGGGAGGGAAGGAGGGAGGGAGGGAGGAGGAAATGTGAGAGTTTTAAGTACATAATGAATTGGTGTTACCAATAGTTTAAGGTCCTGGTGGTGTGAAAGCATTTTTGAAGTCAGGGTCTAAAGGCAATAAATAAACACCATACTAAGATGGTAGTTAGAGAATAGTGTAGTTGAAATTGAGAAGGGGCAAGATGCAGTTATGGACATTGATTAAATATAGAGCAGTGGTGTTCGACCTTTTTCCACAGACCAGGCTTTGAAAAGCACCGCCTTGGAGCACTATCAATTGATTGTTGCCTAAAGTAAATGGAAGACAAGTTTCTGTGAAAAGAGAAGTTCAAAAACCTGAGGGGTCATTCTACTGGAATGTTGTTTATATACATATTGAGGTTATCAAGAATTAAGACAGAAATATTGTTGGAGAAAAGAGATCAGGGATTTGAAAGCTTAGGTCTCGAGGTATTTGATGATAAATGATAAAGGATTAATGATGAGTGAAAATTTAGCAGTATGAGATTAAATGTAGGCTTTTGTGTTGTAAGAAGGGCTGTTTTCTCACATTGATGCCAGTGGTTTCATCTAGTGTGAGGTGTTCTTTGGAACCTTTTGGTCCTCAGACAATATCTGCAACATTCTGGACGTATTTCTGTCATGGACGCTAATGGCCAGGACTGTGAAATGTACCTTGGCAGAGATGCCGCAAAATCTGTACCACACTGCGATTAGGTTGCCACTGGGGATTGTTTCCATTGTATTATGTGACCTGCAGCAGAGATGGCCAGGTTTGACATAGTAGTTTCACTTTAGATTCAAGTGACTATGCCGCATGCAGATTAGCAGCTACTTACTGCACCAAGTTCTAAATGGATCTTTGAAGTGAAACATGAGGCATATAGGGCATTTGTTGTTGTTGCTGTTGTTTAACTAGATTTACTTTCCTTGCCCTTGAAATTGAAGTCCTAGGCAGGTGCATTATTTTGTTGCTGTTGCCTATTTGTTTGGTTGTGGAAGTAGTGATTGGGGAGATCACGCATTGCCAGGAATTGAACTGAGGCCGACCACATGTAAGTTAGTATCTTGACTTGTGTTCTGTGTCTCCAGTCAGATCCATTATTTTATATTTATTTATTTATTTTGCTTTTTGGGTTACACCTGGCAATGCACAGGGGTTACTCCTGGATCTTCACTCAGGAGTTATTCCTGGTGGTGCTCAGGGGACCATATGGGATGCTGGGAATCGAACCCAAGTTGGCCACGTGCAAGACAAACGCCCTACCCGCTGTGCTGTCTCTCCAGCCCCAGATCCATTATTTTAAACTTCAGCGTAGAGTTTTTACTTAATCTCCTTACCCACATGCATAAGTATTTCATCTGTTTTCTAACCATTCTTGTGTCAAACAACCCGAGTTCAATTCCTCTGCTCCTCTCGGAGAGCCCAGCAAGCTACCGAGAGTATCTCGCCCGCACGGCAAAGCCTGGCAAGCTCACCGTGACGTATTCAATATGCCAAACACAGTAACAACAAGTCTCATGATGGAGATGTTACTGGGCCCGCTCGAGCAAATCGATGAATAATGGGAGGACCATGACCGTGACCCTTATGTCAAAATAGGACGGCAGATGTGTCAGCTGTTTTTCAATGTAGGAAAGGAACCTCGTCTATGAATATAGGGAATTTGTTGTTCACTGAGTTTGTGGGGAGAGCTATAAGAGTAAATTCATGCAGTTGCCCCTGCCCCCTCAGGTCTAGAGCCTAACACCATAGATGCCATGCTGAGATTAGGAAATAATTGTCACCACCACTGTCAGTACAGATGCCTCTTAAATCTATGCAGTTGGTTTCCAGGAACTTTAAGAACTTGGAAATTGCCCTTAAACTCTGCCTTTAGAAATGACTTTCAGCAGCAAGAAGATGTTCTCCACTTCCACCTTGCATGTCTCAACAAGGACATTTATGAATGGAAATGAATTTGTATCTGGAAACTTAACTGCAAGGGAACATAGGACATATAGTTTGAGCTAGCCATCTTCTGCTGCAAAAAGGATGGAGCTTAGAAAACTAATCTACAATATCTATCAAACTTGATTTGAGTAAAATCTTTTAATAGCAAATCCTGCTTAGTTAAAATTATCATTTTCAAACAGTGTCTATTTGTTTTACGGGACATTTGGAAGTAGTCAAGTGTTTCTTACACTAGAACTTGACTTAAAACCAAGTTATCTCCTGTTGTGAACTCTTTATTTGATGGTGTTGATGTGTTTGCTTAGAAAAGACCTTGGAAGGCTAATTCTGGTAGGTAAATTCTAAAGAGGGGGAAGCAAAGGCTATTTGATTTTGAAAACTATACTTAATTCTTGTAGAATTTAGATCCAATTTCACTCAAAGAGCTTATTTTTAGACTCTCTATATTGACTCCATTCTTTCAAAAGACTCTTACAGTCATGTCCTGAGTTTCTTAAGAGTGGGTACAGTAGAGTTCTGTCACATCTTCACTATGGAATTTTTCCTCCTTTCTCCTGTCAAAATTCATTTTTTAATGAAAGAGACCTTTTTCTAAGTTATCTAGAATCAGGTCTGAAGAAAATAAAGGGATCATAGTTAACTTCGTGATCATCAGTTGACGTGCTACATTCTGACAGTAAAAATCCATTTTTATTATAAATGATAAAGAGGATTAAATGACTATGATTTGGAGCTGACTGACTTTCAATATCTGAAGCTTAACTTAGGATTTTCTTTGTGATTTTGAGATTGTCTGAAAAGTAAATTACTGTAGGGAGGTAGGATGATATTATGATTGGGTGTATAGTTTAGAGAGTTCAGGGTGTCTTATATTTTTTATTGAGGTGATAGCAGGGGTGGGGAATGTCCAGCATTGTATGAAAATCCCAGGGGCTGCTGGGGGAGAGCCCCAGCAGCTCTTCTTCTCACTGCCCGTATTCGGTGGGCCCGGGTTTGGGGTGGGCCTGGGCCAATCACCCAGCTGGGGTGGCCCGGGCCATGGGGCAGACAGAGGAGGAAACAAGGGCCAAGCTGGTTGGTTGATCAATGCAGTTTATTCCATTCTCCCCACGTGCCTACCCCAGTCTTTCTAAGCCTCCCATTCTAGTCTCACACTGCCCCTCATTCCTGTCTCCTCCTGTCTCTCCTGCTCATCTCTCCGCACTCTATCTCGCAGCCTGGGCTCTCTCTCTCCACATGCCTACTCCTGTATTCTTCTACATTCTTCTCCCTCTGTCCCCCTTGCTAGTCTCTCTGTGCTCCATCTCGCTGCCCTGTTCTCTCTGTCTCTGCCTCTCTGTCTCTGCTTCTCTCTCTCTCTCTCTCTCTCAACTCTCCCCAACTCACGCAGTCTTCTTTACTAGCCTCTCATTCCTCGATTCCAGCTCTCTGGAATCTGCCTCTCCCTCTCTGTCTCTCTACCCCAGCTTGTCTCTCTCCCCCTTGCTCTCTGGGTCCTTGCTACACAAAGTCTGTTAGCAAAATCAACATAAGACAGCCGTTCCTGACTGCCAGGCTCAAGGGTGGAAATAACATCTAGGGGTATTCCAAAGACCTACACAGTATGAAAAATCATACAAGGCCTGTGAAATCCTGGAGTCTGATCCTAGTACTTCATGGTATATACATGATGCTTTTTTTCTACTGCCCATGTCTACCTGCCTGTATTGTATGATCCATGAATAAAGTTATAAATATCTCCAACGGGCCCTTGGTATAAAAACGGTTTTCTGTCCCTATGTTAAAGAGGATTTTAACAAAACAGATGTTTTACACTAACTAATTGTTTTTCTCTTTTTTAAAAAATAGTGAAACAATCATGTTTCTCCATGAAATATTTCATCAAGGACTGAAGGCAAGGATAGCAAATTGGCCTACTTTGATTTTAGGTGAGTGCCTGAAGCAGAGGAGTGAGGATTTTATCCTCCTATGACTTAAAGTACAGTAAAATAACTTTAATATTAGTCTGCCGAAGCCAAATCTCCCTCTTGATGTGCCTTACGAGCCCTTGGGAGTTTGTTTTATTGCTCTTTGGGCCCTGCCTCAGTAGTTATTACCTTTCCACCTTTCCCTTGACTTGTCAGCTTATTTGGGAGTGTGAGGGCTCAGCCCCGGGGGTGCCCAGGGTGCCTTCTATGAGATCAGTCATTCGGTTCTCAGAACTGGGGTGCCTGAGTGGAGCTCAGAAGTCGCTCTGCCGTTCTCATTGCATGGACAATCTCTCCTTGTCCAAGCACAAAGAAAAATGACTGTATTTTTATCTTCTTTCCAGCTGATCTCTTTGATATTTTACTCCCCATGTTGAACATTTATCAAGAGTTTGTGCGTAATCACCAGTACAGCCTCCAGGTGCTTGCCAATTGTAAGCAGAACAGAGATTTTGACAAACTCTTAAAACAGTATGAGGCCAACCCTGCATGTGAGGGGAGGATGCTGGAAACGTTCTTGACCTACCCGATGTTTCAGGTGAGTCATCAGGGACATGAAGTTTCTGGCTCCCACCTGAGAGTTGGAGAGTCCGAGACCCTTGGGTGACCAGGGCAAAACAGGAAAGGATTTCTTGTGAAGAATTTCTGCACCTAGACCTCTGTCATTTTGAGCTGGACCCTGAGATAAACAAACCTAAACCACACATTTCGTCTTTGACTTGTGTGTGTAAGAAAACCAGACATGTTGGAAGCAAATAAATTAGGCATGGTTTTGTTGAAAAGCAGCACAATTTTCTCTTACAGAAAGCTTCCACACACAGATTTCTTCCATGGTGTCTCCTCCTCCAGCATGTTTAAAAATATTATTAGGTTTACAGAAATAGGATGCTGTGCAAATGTTCCAGTGTATGTTGGTTGCATAAAAGGTTCCTAGGGAGTGGAGAGATTTCTGGGAAGGTCTTTGTTTTCCTTCGTATCCTCCCTGCCCTGTTGTGGTTGCTGTTGAGTGTTTGTAGACTGGAGCTCTATCCTTGGTCACGGAGTGGTAGTGACTTAGGAGTCTGGGGCTGTGGCTGGGCTGGGACTCTTGGTCCCTCCTCAGGTGCCATGCTGAGTCTGGGTCTTGTCCTGATGTTCACTTTTGGGCATTAGCACAGCCTAAGGGATCATATACACTTGCATTCTTTCCTATATATCTATGACTACTATTTAGAACCTTGAGTAGGAATTATAGAAGCCAAAATGTGTCTTGAATCTCATGTGCTTTTGAACAATATCTATTCTGTTCTTTTGGAAAAGCATTGAGTGTTCCCATTGTGGAATTTATGGGGCTCCTAGCCAGGCCTCCAGCTTGTCATATGGTAAACCCGTTCTCCTCATCATGTCCGTTAGGGTTTGTGTGGAGAGCTTTGTCCCTCTGAACAAGCATTGCTGGCCCCAGCCAATAATTTTGTAGCCTCAAAAGAAATGTTGCTCTGGCTCATAATTGTTTGTCTTAAAGTTTGTCAGTCCAGCTTGAAATCTTGGAAGTCACCATAGAAATTTAGTTAAGACTTTGAAAACAGAAAGGATACATTTGAAATTACTTAAGTATAGTGAAACTTTATATTGTTTTCGTATATTTGCATGGAACTAAATTGCTTGAACTCTTGGTCTCCCTGAGGAAATATATTACAAGAAAAACTTCAAAGTAAAAAATTTCTTTAATTTTTATTTATCCTTATGCCAAATTGTAGTTTAACTTTTTATCTACAGTGACATAAAACTTATGAAGTGTAATGCTCTTTGGGTTCTATTGGAATCTTTAGAAATTGCTATAGGTAACCATGAAGTACTTCAGTTGTATCTGTTCAGTAGTCCCAATTCAGGTGAATATACAAAAGTAGAGTTGTGAAAGCATGTGGAACATTCAGGAATCTCTCTGTCAGCCCAGTGATGTCTTTGCAGGTGCTATTTAAAATTCCTGTTACTAAGAATTTGTCTTTTAAAACAGCACCTCCACTTTAGGTGAGGTGTCAAAAGGTGGTCGAATATAGGTAAGGCCTTGGAAAGGTCTTTGATTTCTTACCCATGCTGAAGGACTCTCTCCCCACTTTTCCTTTTCCGACCTATCTGTCCTCTCATCCTGAAATTTAAGCCCAGTAACAATGACTTGGCATTTAGATTGACATCAAGGCATGTACATAATGATCAAAAAAGGATCTTTAAACTGGAAAGTGTTAAGAGATATTTAGGAGTCTTCTCAGTCATAACAATGGGTCAGTTGAGGCCGTTTATATCTTCATTTCTTAATCTTATAATTGGGAGGCTGGAGAGGTAGGACAGGAGATAAGGGGCTTTCCTGTGTGCTGCCAACCTGTTCCGATTGGATGCCACAGACAGTCCTCCAATCATCAGCAGGGGCTACTCCCGAGCTCAGAGCAAGGAAAAGCCCTAAACACCACTGACTGTGCCCTCACCTGAAAATTAGGGCTGAAGCTAAACTGTGGACCCAATGCTATGTTTCTAGGGGAGTGCACTGGTTCCAGAAGTTAGGGTGGATAACTACATAGTGTTACAATGGACCTCTTATGAAACCTCCAATCTGTGCAAGACCCACAAGCCAAAACTTAAAGGAAGGTCAAATGTTGAGATTCTCTGTCTTCTCACCTACTGAAGATGGTTCCTCTGAAACAAAAAGCCTCAAACTTAAAATAATTTTTTCTAGAATTGGTCAAACTGCAATAAACATGCCAGTTGAAAGAGTTCTGAATTAGACTCTTATTTATTGCTTTCCTGTAACTATTTTCAGCGGCCAAGAGGGGAAATAACTAAAGTTGGCTTCAAAGGGCCTCTTGCTCCTAAGTTCTCTTTGTCTTGTTCAGGACCTTCTCCCTAGGAGTAATCATGTGAAACATGTAGGTGGGGGAAATGCAGAGAGAAGTGCCTCTGGAAGTCTGACTGATGTTTTTCCATACTAGATTCATTCTGTTCTTCTTGTTTCCTTTTTGTCCTTTTACAAATCAGGTGAAATAGTCATAAAGGCTTTGAATTCTCACATGGATCAGGCATAGCTACTCCCTTCTGCATATACTAGTTGTGGAAATTCTGCACTTTCATCCTGCTCCTGTGTAGGCTGGACATGAAGGGCTAAGGCTGAGCATTATGTATTCTTGCTGTAGAGACACAATGAAAAAGGTGACCTTGGTCAATGCCATTAAGGCTCCTCCGGTACAGAAATTTTTCTTGATCCTAGATATGCAGATAGGGGTTGTGTGTGGGCAGATGGAAAAGAGGTGATTGGCACCTTTTAGCTTGTGTGTGGAGGGTTATATTCTACCTCTCTCTGGACCCTTTTGATGGTATCAAATGCTCTTGTTAATGAACTATGTTAAACTATGGAAACATGGTGGTTTTGTGGGATTTGAATATGCTGTGAATTTATCCTCAGATAAACTCACATAAGACAAGTAAGTGCAAGTGTTGGCAAGAGATGTGTTATGGAAAATAATGTAGTCATTAACTGTTTTTATTTAGCAAAGACAGTGGCTTGGCTGGAACTGTAAATTGGCTTCAGCTGCCCCTAAGTTCATAGGTGAGCCGGTGATGAAACCATCTTCTGACAAGATTGGCTGATTGGATGTTGTCCAGAAAGCAGCTTTTTCTGCTCTAGTCACCTATTTACTGTAATTGGAGAGCATGTTAATTAATGTCTGTAATGTGACAAGCATTGTTCCATAATTGAAAGCAGAATTATGACTCATCTAGACAGTACTATGAGTCTTGAGTTTTTGGGGGGAACAGATTTATGATCAGCTCGTGGCTGTACAGATGAATCCTTTGGTGAGACAGACACTTTTCTGCAGAACATCCTTTGCCAGCTTTTGGGCAGTCTCAGACTTGTTTGTTCCTCCACCAGAAAGTGGAGAGGGCCAGTTACTGAATTTCAAATCCATCCACTTGAATCTTAGCCAAGAAACTCTCTAAAATAGATTTAATTAATGGGGGAGGATCATGAATCTATTGACTAAACTTAGTTTTGTGGGCTTTCAGTGCATTATAAGTAGTCAGGCTCTCCCACTCCTGCCTTCTTTGTTATGAAAAATTGGGTACATTGCCTTGATTTTCTTATAGAATTCTTGACTTCAAGGCAAACTTGCATCAATCGTGGCATGGTGCAAAAGGAATATTTGAAAGCATGTCCCAGGCAGGTTCACCCAGTGGAACAGCAATCAAGGCTATCTTACTGTAAAGTTTATGGGATAGAGGGGTCTAAAGTCTCCTCCATCTGTTCTTCAGTAGAGGAGTGTCCTGTGACCCTTTTCCCAGGACCAAGGAGTCTCCCTGATTCTGAAACCCTGACTTGATGGCATCCCCAGGTCATGATCCCACAAGAGCTGCAGACCCATGTTGTGCTGATGGTGCTGCTATGCAGATGTGCTTGTGCATAAATGCAGGCACTCATTACAAATTGGTAATAAGCCCGTGAATGCCGCAATCTGCATGTGAAAAAATGTCAATTTGTGGATAGAGATCGCAACATTGAAGGACAGAATGAGAAGGAGAAGCCCCTAGGCCATGGGAAGTGGCTTTATTTTCTTCACTCTCAAAGGTCCTTGCAAGTGCTGAGTGATCTCCATTACCAGCACAAGACATTCTCAGGGTTTGTTACCCCTTAGAACCTAAATCCAGGCTGGCTCTCCTGTCTAGGCTGAGTCCATCCTGAAGAAGCTTCAACCCTCTTTCTACTTTATTTCATTTGCGCCCTTTCTAAGAAAGCCAAATGTGGAAAGGGGAAATAATTCTTGCGTTGCTGGAGGTTTGGATGCATGCGCAAACCTCAAGCACTTGAACTGACCCAAAATTGGAAGTGAAAATTAAACCCATGCTTCTTATTCTCTTCAAAATTTTAGTTTATTAGCCAGAAAAACATAAATATGTGGAATCACTCTAACGTGAGATAAAACTCTACTATGGTCTGTTAAAACCCTCCTAAACTTGATGAACTTTCTATCTTTGATAGCTTTCAGTTAGGTAGATGCTCATAAACAAAAATAAAATGCAAATTAATAATCTAATTGAAAATATTTTTCATTGCTAAAAGGATAAGTTGAGACAAAGTGTGATAAAAATGTCATAAAAGTGAATATATTTTCTCTTGAGTTTTTGCTCTACACTGATTACAGTAGGATTGTCAATTAAAAATTTTTAATCAAAAAGTGCTTATAAAAAGACAAATAAATCTACATATAGATTCAGGTAAACTTGAGTATAGCCGTCTGTTTCCCTGAGTCAAGTTTTAGAAGATGATGGTGAAGAAATATTTGATGATATTTAACAAAAATCTAAAGAAACAGTTGCTTGTTTATAACAATATTCATGTTTTCTTGATAAAGTTTCATGAGAGAGAGAGAAGGAAGGGAGGGAGGGAGAGAAAGAAGGTAGAAGTATAGTTCATTTTAAACATATTTGAAATCTAAGCTATAAATGTTAACACTATTGTAACCTTAGCTATAATAAAACTAAGATGTCAACTATATGTTATCCTGTATGGAGAAAATTTTACATTAAATATTATGTTATATACATACATAAATAAATATATACATATATATTTGTAAACAATAAAAACTGTCAGAAAGGAGCTTCTCAGAGATGAGGATGGTACAGAAGAGAGTGACCCAGTGTTCTGGATCTCAGGGTGCTGGGTTCCTACTTCTTGCTCACATGGCTTTTGTGTTTAGATTCCCAGGTACATCATCACACTTCATGAGCTCCTAGCTCATACTCCCCATGAACATGTGGAGAGGAAAAGTCTGGAGTTTGCTAAGTCAAAACTAGAGGAGCTTTCCAGGTAGGAGATAACTCACAATAAGTTTTCATCTTGGAATGCAGTGTTAATCTCTGTGGAAATGTAATGCATGTGTCCAGGAAATTGGCAACAAGACACCATTCAGTCTTTCAGGTTCACCTGGGTGTTAAGTGCTGGCTCTCAAGATAGCCCTAAGGCAGCCCATATGTGAACTTTAATAAAAAAATAGTCTTTGAAAATGTGTTTATAAGAACTGAAGAGATAGTACATCAGAATGGGCACATGCCTTGCACCTGGCTAATTGGAGTTCCATCCTTCACAGCCTAAGTGGTCCCCCAGGCATTGCCAGGAGTAATCTCTAAGCAGAGCCAGGAGTAAGCCCTGAGCACTCTTGGGTATGGCCCCTCAAAAATATGTGATTATAGCATGTGAATTTATGTAATTACGATTAGGTATGTATTTCAGTTGAAGACTAACATTCATTTCAACAGAATAGAAAATTATTTTTATTTAATTAAAAACTGTTTTTTTGTGGGTGGAAGGTTTGGGCCACACTTGGTGGTGCTCAGAGGCTACTCCCAACTCTGTGCTCAGAGGTAGCTCCCAGAAATCTTGTACCACAAATTGACCTGGGGTCTTTAACAATTAAGAAAAGTGTCTTCACCTCTTTACTCTCTCTATCCACTGCCAAATGATTTTTAAACGCAGTTTTGTTATTTATCTTTGGGAAGAAGTTAGGCAATGTATACTTTTGTTTTATCAGTAATTTTTCAGCGTTTTAGGAGATTATAGCTGTGTTCCATTAGTTCATATGGGCTAAAAGGTATAATTTATTCTGACTTTAAGAAAGGACAACCCAATTTCAATGAAAGAAATTGTTCATAAAATATTATATTATTGCATCCCTGTTTCTCTGGTAAGCTGCTTTCTAAGGACAGTCATTGACCACTGGTCCATGCTGGGTTTTTTACTTTACCAAAACCTCAAGGTCTGGTCTGCATCCCCTGACTCCCCCCATGCTGACACAAGTTTGAAACCAGGCTCCCAGGTAAAGGTCTTCTTTGCTCACTTGCGATCACAGACAGTAGAAAACTCTCACTGTTTCCCTGTGTTACTGTCTCTGACAGGATCATGCATGATGAAGTGAGTGACACCGAGAACATAAGGAAAAACCTGGCCATAGAGAGAATGATCGTCGAGGGCTGTGATATCTTGCTGGACACCAGCCAAACCTTCATTCGCCAAGGTAAGTGCATGATCCACACCTGCCGTCCAGCAACTTCTGCCACAGGCACATTGTCACCAGCAGGTCCGGGAAAGCGTTCTGGAACTGATGCAGTTTATTTACGTGTCTGCTGCCGTGACCGAGCGTGTGGTTGAGGCCCACTTCTGTGCTGTTTCTTTTCAGGGGCCATGAAAAACAGCAACACAATAATAGTAAAGCACGAGTGGGATGGTAGATTACATTCTGACTGGACCCTTCTCCTCAGTACAACGGACATTCTCAGCAGCGCCAAGGAGGACAGATCGGCCTGGCCGATGAGAGTGGCCACGTCAGGTGGCGATGACACCCAGGCCAAGATCCAAGAGAAACTTGCCCTGCTCAAAGCACTTTCATATAGTCCGGGGGACACTGTCCGGAGCGAGAACAGCTGTCTCTTGTTCCCATTTTTCATCAGCACTTCTGCAGCAGCCCCCCAGGACTTGATTTGATTCAGTTGGTCCCCCCACTTGCCAACTGAAATGCCCCATGGTCTGTTCCTGCCACACTACAGGAACGACGAAGGTCTCGTGTCTGTGGGGTGTGCTTTGGGGCATCACCCAGTAAATTAGGTTTCGAAGAATTGGAAGATTCTTGTGCCGAAAACTGTGGAAAAGCCACTGCCTACCAGTGTCCACTCCTCTGTGGCTCTGATTCCAAAGTGCATGCAGCAAACCATATTCCAAATCCTCTTTAAGATTTTCAAAAGAGGGCCACAGACCCTGAGGAAATGGCTTAAGAGACCATCTCTCACATGTTTAGGAATGTTGAATTTGGAGAGACTGGCACATGTATTTGGAGCTGTAATGAACCTTGAGTGTAGGTTCAAGCTTATGTATGCCAGTCTCATTTGATGGCATTTGCATTTCTGTTGTGTACTGAAACATGATGCTTAAAACACATTTTTTTCATCTCATGAAAAAAGTCATTATTTGTGCCATGCACATTATTTTTTTTTTTGCACAGAATAGTAACAAAATTCAGTGCATGCTGTTCTATTTTTCCATTGTTTGTTTACAAGAAGAGAAACCACACATATGTTAAAATTTTGAAATCTATTTTAGGTGAGGATAACCTTTTCTTATTTTGACTTTCGATGTTCATTTTTCTCCAAATAGTAATGGAATGGGATGTCAGAGATGTCAGGACTTCCTCTGTGTCTCCTTTATTTCTCAGACCAACTGTCTCCCCAGTCTGCTTCTGTGCCTTTACTTATGCCATTCCCAGCCTTGAGCACCAGAAATGCCCTTGTCTACCTTTGTGTGCCTATTGAAGGTTGGCTTGTGCTCCCAGGATCAAGTCTGATACCTCTGAGGAGCCTTTTAGAATTTTCTTCTTTTCTTCTCTAGTTAAGAGTAAGTTCACCTGCCTCCTCATTTCGAAGGCCTCTCGCTCTTGGTGCATGAGTTTCATCCTTTTCTATGTTGTGAGCTCATGTTTGTTTGCATGACTGTCTTGCTCCATAATTATAACTCAGAAGGGCAATGTGTATAAATTTTCTCTTTTTTGATAGGCTGATTTCCATTATAGATAACAGAAAAAATTTCCCTTGGATTCAACTGAATTGCTTGTTGAATTGACATTTTGATTGTAAGGTGTCCTATTCTGTTTTTTTTTCTTTTTTGGAGTTTGTTGAAAAATGTTTGCCAATTGACTTGAGCTGTATAATATGTGAGAATGGAAACAAAAGTTTCTGTAACTAGATGAAAGGACTTACGATTGAAAAGTATTCTTATGCATAAATAATTATTTCTACACACATAGATAATTCTGATCTAAGTTTGAAGAAACTGTCAATGAAATATTGCTGGAAAATTGAATATATTGACTAAGTCATAATTGGCTTATGTAGAAGGCAACTGCCAGTAACTAGAAGAAGTACATTGGGAACCACCAGTCTTGTGACTCATGCCCAGATGCTTTTTATTCCTTGTCCTGTACCACACATTTAAGGCATTTCTGAGGCCTGAATGTTTCAATGTTATTATGTTGATATTGATATGATGATTCCTGTGCATTTTTTTTCTGTATCACTTGGTTTGGTTAGTCTGTTTAGTAATTATTCAATAAAGATGACTTTAAAAATCAGATCTTTATCTGGAAGTGCAAGTAATCTAATCACAGACAATTTGAAAATTTTGCCCAATTCTGCTGTGATTGTTTCTGCTATCACTTTAGTTAAATGTACTTAATAGGCTTTAAGATCCATTGAGATTTTAGTTTTCTACTCTTTTAAACTCTTAGTGATTCTATGTTCTATAAAACTACAGTTCATTTATTTTATTGAATGAATCATTGTGAGATATACAATTACAAAGTTGTTCATGACTGAGTTTCAGTCATACAATATTCCAATACCCATCCCTTCACCAGTGCACATTTCCTGCCACTAATGTCCCCAGTTTTTCTCTAGCTCCCCTCCCTCCAACCCCACTCCCACAGCCTGCCTCTATGGCAGACACTTTTTACAATTTTTTCTAATTATGTCCTAGTATTTGGTCTTAACATTTATAAATGATTTGAAGGTTATTAAATGTGTAAGTGTGTTGGGTATGTGCACATATATCTATGTAGAAATTTGTGCATGACTTTATCTTTTTGATTTTTTGCCCATTTATTTAAACATGGTGGTTTACAAAGTTATTCATGATGCATTTGTTACAGGCACTCAGTATTCCAATAGCAAACGCTCTACTGTTGCCTCCATTTTGCCAATCACCACTCAAGCCTGCCCCAGTATCAGGCCCAAAATAATTTATTTTATATTGCGTGTTACCACTAAATGGCTCATGGAGTGATTAAAAAAAAACTTCAGTAAAAGAAAATTTGTGAAAATTCTTGTGTCTCACCGTGAGGACATTAATTCTTTGCCTCAGGTTTACTAAGCCTTTGTTGCTAGTTGAGCCTTCTGTGTTAATGTTTTCGTTAGTTCAACTTTCTTGGCTTCTACTTTACTTTCCCGTCCAATTTTACATTCCCATGCAATCTGGTGTGCTCCTACTGAGACCTCCGTATTGTAGAGTTTGGAGATGTCACTCCAGAAAATCCAGAATATTTAACTGGCTAGTGAGCTTACATGGCTGTTGCAGTGAGACGTGGGTGTAGCTGCCAGTCTTCTGGAAGTACAGGGAGATGGGGCAAGATCACCCACCCTGACTCAAAGAAGACCTGGAGTGTTCAGCCAAAAAATATCTGTTGTACCTGAAATTTCCATCAGTTTAGCATCTCTGTGGAGCTTAGTCAAGAGGCCGTGGAGTCTGGCCATAAACATGACAGCAGCTTTTAGGGTGTGAGCATGGCTGCTGGGCCTTTGTTAAGGTGGGAGCTTGCTTACGCTCTCCTGAAATGGCCCTGGAGGTCTCAGCTGGTGAGTGGTGTATCTGAGAAACTTTTTCTGCTTGTTGATCTCTTTTAAGATTTAATTCTGAGCTTCTGAAACAGGGCTGGGAGAGGAGTCGACACGGGAGCAGTGGTGAATAATAATAGTGGTGAAACGTGGGTGTATGTGCACGATTCATTCAGCACTATTCATTCATTCACCACCATAATAATAGTGGTGAAACATGGGTGTATATGCACGATTTTAATGTTAAATGGATTTTCATTGTGAGGACTAGGAAATCGATGTCATGAGGTCATTGAGAGGCCTACTCAGAATCAGCCAGTCTTGAATGTCAATCCACAGAAGTTTTGAGATTGAAATAACATAAATTTTATTGTAAATTGAATCTAGTTTTAATCAGTTGATAAGCAGAATGTCTGTAGCTGTGGTCTGATGTTTCATTTACTTTTCAAAGCCTACTCAAAGTTTGTTGAATGAATATGTAAGAATCGGAGACAATAATAGGAAGACAGTCCAGTCATGCTAGTGGAAGTCAAATCCTGCCTCCTGTATTTGCTTGCTCTCCAGCTGGAGAATTTAATTAATCTGTAATTGCCTCAGTTTCTTCTCCCTGAGTTACTAGTCATACTTACCTTATTATACTTTAAAGGTTAAATGAACTGAAGTACACAAAGGCATCTAGACTAGTGTCTACGTGATTAAGATATCAACTTTCAAAACTGAGATTCAAATTTTAGACTTAATATTTTTAATATTGTGAAATATATATTAATATTTATTAAATGGTAAAGGGACTTTAAGTTTAGATCTTGCATGAAATCCATTATGCATAGTCCATGTAGTTTTATAGAAATGTGAGTCAGAAAAATTAAATAGAGGTAACCGAATTTAGAATGAAATGCATTGTAAGACAGTCTTGGCTAGTACTTTAATACCCATCAGATTCTCTATTATGTACTTTCAATGTACCATTATTTAAAGTCGTAACATGAAATTTACAGTGGTTATATCTTCTCAAATGCCCAGCCCTATAATCTGGTAATTGTTTTTTACTCTTTTTCACTCCTGTGTGGAATTAAGACTAAGGGCATAGGTCATTTGTAAATGCCTGCTCCTGACCCCCAAACTCCCCCCTCACCTTCACGGGAATGTGGTTTTTGAAATAGCATAAGATTTGTTGTGAGTAGACCCCAATTGTTACATAGACTGATCACCAAGATATAATAGATTATTTTAGCAATGTTATGTTTACTGAGCAATTACTAATTTAATACTAGAGAAGAATCTTTGAGTCTTATGATGATATTGCTACATCATAAGGTAAAAGAGAAAAATATACATTAACATGTCTTTATTCTGATCATGATCATTATGTAAACTAGTCAATATAATTGAAGTTGCTTACTTCGGAAGTAACTTCAATTCAGAAATATTTATTTTATAAATTCAGAAAGATATGCATTTTATTCCATACTAATTGCACATGGTCTACTTGGCTTTGAGTGAGCACTAATAGATTTTCACTTATTACTGTGTAGTTGCCAAGGAAACATTTTTTACATCAAAACTGAAGTACAAAGTAATTGCGTATATATGAGCTAACAGCGTATTTTGTAGTTTTTGAGTTGCAAAAATCATTAGATGCTAGAAACCTTTACCAATGAACATGTTTTTATCAAACCTTCAGAGCCTGACTTATATTCCTTTTGAAGATGACTCCACAGCCTTTTGTCAGTCAAGAGGTTGGTTGAAACCTTAGTCTTTCGTGCTACCCTAGCTCACCTGCTTGGATCACTCACAACCAAAAGCCAAGAACAAACTGGCTTTTCCCATCTGTTCCAAGTTTCAGGTTTGTGTTTTTGGTGGGAGGGCCTCCCAGCAGTGCTCAAGTGCCTGGGGACCACACTTGGCAATACTCAGCGTCGCAGAGTGGGCCTTAGGGTTTGGTGTTCGGGTGAATAGTGCAGTGCAACTCGGGTCTGGTGGTGCTGGAGTGGGAAGGCACAGAGAGTGCCAGGGATTAAACCGATCATTTCACATGAAAGACCTGTGCTCCATCCCTTTTCACTAACTTCCCAGCTGCCCCGTTTTAATGTTGCCGAATCCTCTGCCGTCTCCTGGCTGTGATATTCAATTTGGTGTGACTCTTGCATGACTACTTCATCTTCCAGGCCTCAGTTTCCTCATTTGTAACACGAGGGAATGACTCATCTCTTCTGAAATGTCTCTTCAGGTTTTGGTTTCATCCTGTGACCCTCCTGGGAGTGCAATCCTTTTGCTACTATTACGTACCCTTCTCCTTCTCTGAGATTTGTGCCTTCTGCTTTTCCCATGCTCCCTCATTCTCCAAAGTTAGTTGCTTGCTGCCTTTATTCTCTGCACAGTGTGCTCCCACATGCTTCCCCTCTTTCCTTCACTTCCTCTTCTCAGGTCTTTTTTTGTGAAATCAAGCCTTCCTCCACTCGTCACTCTGCTTCCCTGCCCCACATTCTCCCCTAGGATTACTTTCTTGCTCATCTTAGACTCGGATAGCTTTTTTCTCCTTTACCTCTGGCAGCCCCACCTAAGGAGGCAGCATCCAGGCCTGGAAACGAGAGTTCTTCATCCCATGCACATCTTAAAGTACCTGGTACAAAATATATGCTATCAGATGCATCCTTGTGTTAATACTAATATTTGATGAACACTCCAATCTTACAGGTTTACTGTTACACATATATGAAGAAGAGTGATTTTTTTGCCTTAAAAAAATCTCTGATCATTAAAAACAAATAAGATTATCCAGAAAGCATATGAAGAGACATATAAATTGCCTTCAATTTCACATCATAGTGATGATCCATTGATAATATTTAAAATATTTAAAATATTCAATATTTAAAAATTGAATATGTGTTTTTTCATAAGAAAGCATTTAGGGTAGATATTAGATTAAGCCAAAAGTAGAAATAGCACCAACTTTGGACATTTTAGAAGTCAGAAGTAAGGGATTTGTAATAATCTGTCTTAGGACTCCTTTTTCTTTCTTTTTTTTTTTTCGGGAAGAGACATATCCAGCAGTGCTCAGGGGTTGCTCCTGGCACTGTGCTCAGGGATCACTCTGGGCAATGCTCAATGAACCATTATATACCACGGATGGAACCAGCTGCATACAAAGCAAGAGACTTAGTCCCTGCATTATCTCTTAGCCACAATACTTTTTGTCTTGGTATTTAACTTAGATTAGAATTTTATTTGGGTGGGGAGATTATGATCAAAGAGAGATTATATAAAATATTTGTGTAATTTTTTCAATGAAGTGAAAGCTATGTTTATTCTGTGTATATATTTTGTGTGATTTATTTTATGTTTATATTCTACAGAGATTTAGCTGTGAGGAGTGGGGCAGAGTGCAAGTGGTTCATACCTGGCAGTTGCAGGATTTTTATTGGCTCTGTGCTTGCAGGTCACCTGTGCACCTGTGGTGCTCAAGGGCCTTTGCTGTGCCAGACCTTGAACCAACGCCTGCTGCATGGAAAGCAGTGCCTGGCCCTTTGAGCTATGTCCCCAGTCGCTCTACCAAGATCTTTCTTACATGTAATTTAAATGCAACCTGAACTAGGTACTTTTTAAACATAGTCTTTAAGTAAATTATATTGATCTTATAGCGGTAGGGCATTTGCCTTGCGCGCAGCCAGCCTGGCCAAGCTGGGTTCAATTCCTCTGCCCCTCTCGAAGAGCCTGGAAGGCTACTGAGAGTATATTCAATATGCCAAACACAGTAACAACAATTCTCAAAATGGAGACGTTACTGGGCCCGCTCAAGCAAATCGATGAACAACGGGAGGACAGGATAGTACAATCTACATGTATTGTAGTTTATTACAAAATTAAGTAACAGTGAATTATCTTAATATGTTACTTACCTTTAATTTTAAGGAAGTATAAATTGTTTGCTTCAGTTGTGTTATTGAATCTCAATATGTAATTATACAATATGTACCTTATTCCTCTTGGGCAGGGGGAGTGAGGGTGGGCATTTGAGTCATACCTGGAAGTAAGGCAAGTGCCTTATTCCCTGAACTGTGTCTCCAGCCCCTGTATCTACAAGGACATAAGTTTATTGAGATCAGATCCCCAAGGATCATCTGCCTTTTTCTTTGAATTCAATTTATTTCCTTCAAACTTATTTTTCTACCTTTTAGTGAATGTTTAAGTCTAAAGTGTTTGACAAAAATGGTACAAATTAGCGTGACTCTTAAAAATACAAGACATATTTCTTCTTCTCAATGTACAGGGGATTCACTTGCATTAAAGTTCTAGTCAACTAAATTCTTGGAACCATGGAAAATAAATCTCCATGTTTCTTGTATCAATATGGACTCTTCACTTCCTAGACTTCTAATCTCTGTATTCTTCGTTTTTTTGTGATTACCAGGTTCTCTTATTCAAGTACCCTCTGTTGAGAAGGGTAAACTTAGCAAAGTTCGCCTGGGTTCATTGTCTTTGAAAAAGGAAGGAGAAAGACAGTGCTTCTTATTTACCAAACACTTTTTAATTTGCACAAGAAGTTCTGGAGGAAAGCTGCATCTGCTCAAGGTACCGGTTTTCCATGTTTATTTTATTGCTATTCCATGCACTGTTGGGGCATTGAGAGCACTTTGAAGGATGGCTTCCCCCACCCATGCTCTGCTGCGCAGAGGGTCACAATTTGCATAGTGAAGTCATATATAGTTAGAAACCTCACTTCGTTGTCCCTTGCAAGAAACTTAAATTTAAGTATGCACTACCCCAAAAATCATAACTGAGCATTTTTCTGGTTGTTGACTACTGAGTTACAAAAAACTTGTTTGATGGGGCATGAGAGAAACTGGGGACATTGGTGGTGGGAAATGTACACTGGTGAAGGGACAGGTCACTGTCACTGTCCTCCTGTTGTTCATCAATTTGCTTGAGTGGGCCCAGTAACATTGTGAGACTTGTTACTGTGTTTGGCATATCGAATACGTCATGGGTAGCTTGCTAGGCTTTGCCCTGCGGGCCAGATACTCACGGTAGCTTGCCGGGCTCTGCAAGAGGGGTGGAGGAATAGGGTCGGCCATGTTGGCTGCATGCAAGGCAAACTCCCTACCCACTGTGCTATCACTGTAGCCCAAGGGGACAGGTATTGGAACATTATATAACTGAAACCCAGTTAACAACAACTTTGTGTGAATAGTGATACAATAAACATTACAGTAAAAAAGAAAAGAACTCTGTAACTGTGTATCTCACTGTGATTTCAGTTAAAAAGTAAATTAAAAATTTAAAAAAATTAATTCAAGTAAAAAAGAGATCATTTTCTCATTTCTATTTTATCTTCTTCTGCACCAGAGTCGGGAAACTATTACCCACAAATTGATGTCTATTTTTTGTTTGTCAAGGCTGGAGCGATAGCACAGCAGTAGGGTGTTTGCCTTGCAAGTGGCCAACATGGCAGACCCGAGTTCAATTCCTCTGCCCCTCTTGGAGAGCCTGGCAAGCTACCGAGAGTATCTTGCCCGCATGCAAAGCCTGGCAAGCTACCCGTGATATATTCGATATGCTAATCACAGTAACAATTGTCACAATGGAGACGTTACTGGGCCTGCTTGAGCAAATCGATGAACAATGGGAGGACAGTGTGTTTGTTTGTCAAGTTCTCTTGGCACACACCATTGCTTATTTGTCTCTATACTGTGACTACTTTCATGTTTTTAGAAATGAAAGATTTGAGTAGTTATGACAGAATCACAGAGTTTGCAAAGCCTAAAGGATTGCCCATTACATAAAATATTTGCTTATCTATACCTTTATTATTCACGCCTAAAGATATTTTTCTATGATAACAGCTTTCTTTGTTTAATGCCTCTCTGGTTTTCTGAGTTGCATTCACTCACTGGACCCCTCAGATACCGTCTTATAATCCAGAGACCAACTGACTACATTTTATTGAAAGTGAGAGTGAATTGGTGAGAGAAGAATAATGAAAGATGAGTTTAATTACTTTCATGTGTCTGTTTAATTTTGGAGACTGAAAATTATTGATGATGCAGAATTGCTATGCTTTCTTCTGTGACATCTAGAAGATAAGGTTTATAAATCACAATTCACTGGGGCTGGAAAGATAGTACAGAAGGTAGGGTGTTTGCCTTGTCTGGCTAACCCAGATTTGATCCCCAGCATTCCATGTAGTCTCCTGAACCCCTGCCAGAAGTGATCTTTGAGCTCAGAGCCAGGAATAAGCCCTGAACACTGGCAAGTGTTACACTCCCTGACCCCTGAAAAACAGAAAACAATGAAAAAAGGACTTTCTGACCTGTGCAAGACTCTCATCTTCTTAATGAAACTATTGATTTCTTTCCAGACAGGTGGGGTCCTCTCTCTGATAGAATGCACATTGATTGAGGAACCTGATGCAAGCGATGATGATTGTAAGTCACTTTCTGTTACTTAGAATTATATTCAAATTAAAGCAGTTTAAATCCTATAGATTTTTTATCTGTTTATAGCTAAGAAGAGCTGCTTTAGGATGCTGGAGATAGGCTGAGAATGAACTCCCTAATGTCATATATTTGTGAAAAGTTCTGTGGAACCATTTAACCCTGTGAGCCTTGTTAACCCACTATTGGGGAATTCAGATTTTACTGAATTTGTCTCATGATAGTAACTTTTCAGTGAAGGCAGAGGAATTGTTGTCAGGGTTCTGCAGATTAATAGAAATTTTTAAAATCATGAAGAGAGCAGAGTCGTAGTGCAAGTAACTTACTCAAACTCAGCCTCTTTATCTGCTGGTGAGCTCAATAAAGCAAGCTCCCAGTCTCCAGAAGTTTCTATTGCTGACATGAGAGCCTGACCTTGAATGTCCGTCCATCAGAGAAGGAGGAGAGAGCCACTTTATTCTGTTCCTGATTCGCATCTCATTGTTGGGTTTCTGTGTGTTGAAGCCAAATGTTCTGGTCAAGTTTTTGGACACCTGGATTTTAAAATAGTGGTGGAGCCCCCTGATGCTGCCCCGTTTACTGTGGTGCTGCTTGCCCCCTCACGCCAGGAGAAAGCAGCCTGGACCAGTGACATCAGTCAGGTAAGCCAGGGGGTTGGGCCATGACTTTGGGTTTTATTTTACATTTCATAGTAAAATATGGTGGGAGGGGAAATTTAGAATGATAAAAAATATTTTTTTTTTGATTTCTGGGTCACACCTGGCAATGCACAGGGGTTGCTCCTGGCTCTGCACTCAGGAATTACTCCTGGCGGTGCTCAGGGAACCCTATGGGTTGCTGGGAATTGAACCCGGGTTGGCTGCATGCAAGGCAAATGCCCTACCCGCTGTGCTATCATTCCAGCCCCAAGAATTATAAAAAGTCATTTAAAAAATTTTTAATTGAATCACCAGACTGGAGCTATTGCACGGCGGGTAGGTCTTGCACACAGCCGACCAGGGTTTGATTCCTCCGTCCCTCTTGGAGAACCTGGCAAGCTACTGAGAGTATCCCACCTGCATGGCAGAGCCTGGCAAGCTCCCCATGGTGTTATGCCAAAACAGTAATAACAAGTCTCACGATGGAGACGTTACTGGTGCCTGCTGGAGCAAATCAATGAACAAAGGGAGGACAGTGCTACAGTGCAGTATTAATTGAATCACCATGAGAGACACAGTTACAAAGTTGTTTTTAATTGGGTTTCAGTCATACAATGCTTCAATGCCTGTCCTTTCACCAGTGTACATTTCCAATCACCAATGTCCCCCCCCTTCCCTCCCCCTCCCACTTTATGGCAGGCTCTCTCTCCTCTCTCTCTCTCTCTCTCTCTCTCTCTCTCTCTCTCTCTCTCTCTCTCTCTCTCTCTCCCTCTCCTCTCTCTATCTCTCTTCTCTCACTCCTCTCACTCCTCTCTCACTCCTCCCTCTCCTCTGTCTCCTTTTGGGCATTGTGATTTGCAATACAGGTACTGAAAGGTTATGTTTGTTCCTTTACCTAATTTCAGCACTCATTTCTTACCCAGAGTGATCATTTATCAACTATCATTGTTATAGTGGACTCTTTTCTATCCTAACTGCCCTCTGCCTCCACCACTTGAAGCAAGCTGCCAACTGTGGACCAGTCTTCCTAGCCCTTGTTTCTACCATTCTTTGGTGTTATTAGTCTCATACTATGTTTTTTTATATCCCAGACATGAGTGCAATCATTCTATGTCTGTCTCTTTCCTTCTGACTCATTTCATTCAGCATGAAACTCTCCATGTCCATCCATTTAATAGCAGATTTCATGACTTCGTTTTTCCTAGTGACTGTGTAATATTGTATTGTGTAGATGTACCATAGTTTCTTTATCCAGTTGTATGTTCTTGGGCACTTGAATTGTGTTCAGATTCTGGTTATTGTGAATTGTGCTACAGTGAACATAGAAATACAGATGGCTTTTCTGCAGTGTGTTTTTGGGCCCTCAGTGTATATTCCCAGAAGTGGTGTTGCTGGGTCATGTGGCAGTCAATTTTTTGAGGAAGTCAATATTATTTTCCAAAAAGGCTGGACCGATTGACATTCCCACCAAAAATGAATGTCACTTTCTCCCACATCCACCCCAGCACTGGTTGTTCTTGTTCTTTTTGATGTGTGAAATTCTATCTGGTTACTGTGATTCCTAATTTCACAACTTACCTATCTTGATATGCTGGGATCCACTTTTGTGACTAATTGGTTTTCTAAGGTTAGAATTGACTAAAAAATGTAGTAATTGTATTTTAGCTCCTGGTCATATTTGTACAAATTACAAAAGTATTCAGTTGGTGGAACAGTGGTCTGATGACTTCATGACTAATAAATTCTCCCAGTGATCCCATTGCATTTTTTCATTATTGCTATCTGCAGCAGGAGATTGGTGAGAGATAAAAGCAACTAACAAAGACTGGTGAGAAATTGCAAAGGCAGAAGGGAGCGTCTGTGGCTCAGAATCTGAAAATGGTCTCCTGTGTTTGATATTGAAACACTTTGGAAACAAATTTGCTTCTTTTTCTTTGATCAGCAATGCCCAGCTATGAAGTTGCTGCCTTTATTCAGAATTTTGAAAAATGTCAAAATTAGTAATGATTGAACTCAGGCATTCTTAAAGCCAAGCTCCAAATTTATCTTAACTTCAGTTGCCAACAGAGGAAAAAAGTGAAGCAGTCTAGAAAAAATATTAGTAAAAGGCTTGATGATTATCTTCAAAGTTATTAACTCAAGGGAGATTAGTACAAATGGGGAAAAAGCACACTGTATATTCCATTTTCTCCTTTTTATTCTGGGTTTTTCATAATCGTTTATGAATTTTGTCATAGGGCTCCAGATACTTAATATTTTTTCAGAGTGACTGGAAACTAAGGTAGCTAGAAAAAAATGGCAAAACAAAATTTTGCTTTTCAAAGGAATTGTATAGACTTTCTTTCATTTGACTCTTAAACAGTATTTTGGAATTAAGCGCAAGCATTAGTGCTACTTCCAGGAGAGGAACCAGAGGTTTGGGAAGCTAAGTGTTTGTCTCAAGTTACATAACTTCATTGATTCAAGGCTCAAGCCTAATCCAGGTCTTTTATTAGTACTCTCCAGATCCTCCACAGGAATGCAAATACTTCCTTCCATACCTTGGGGACTGCTTTGCTGGTGGATAAACAGCTAAAAATTAGGCACTTCTTTTCTGGCTAACAAAGGGATCAAAATAGGAGATCCTCAATATTTGCATAATTATATCCTTATGATGATATATTCATACATTCACCAACTCTATATATTATCAGCTAATACTTTAAATCTCTGTAATGCAACTGTTACCTTCTAAAACTCTGACTCATTCACTGATTCTATGAACATTTATTGAGTGATCACCAGGCACTTCCAGATATTGTGCCAGCAGCAGGGATTTGGCAATGAGCTTTGAGCTCAGGGAGACAGGCAGACTAGAAGGGAAATAGGTAACTCAGTGAAACAAAATTTTGTCAGTATTAGGAAGCTAAGATATGTAGAAATGAATAGGAGGAGGCAAGTATTTTTTTTTCCAGTTGCTTCTTGTGTCTGTCTTATGACCTAGCTGTGTTTCCTGACATAGAGTTGGCCTTCCTTTGGTGTCTGTTGAGGTATAGGAGAGATACCTTTGGGGTCAGGAATGAGCCTATGCTTGGTTCTTCAAAGAACGAATCCAATACATTCCCTGACACGAGTCTCCAAGAAAGTCTCTCAACATGCATCGAAAAAATTGGAAAAAAATCTGAAATACATACGAGGCAGAATAGCACAACCTTCTTCTGTTTCTTGATTTTTTTTATGATTTATACACTAAATTGTACCAGATAATATCTAAAAGTGAATTGGAGAAAGAAGCTAACAGAAAGCTTTTTTTTTTGAGTGACAATTATATAATTCATGAAATTACTATATTCAGTAGAACCTTGACATTTAAGATTTTATGCAGCAACAAATATTTTAACTGCCAGGCGCTGTTTGGGCACTTGGGATATAGATCATGGGAAAAAGAGGCAGCAATAACAAATAAATTCCTAACCTTATATAGCTTACATTTAAATGTGAGGAAGATTGAAAATAAATAATAAAGATAATAAGTGCGCAGTGTTTTGTGTTAGAAATAGCATAGGGCAGGGTAGGCAGCAGTGGGCATCTGCAGTAGGCATGAGTTGATAGCATTTTAAAGAAGTGTTGATCTCAAACAAAAAAAAAAGAAGTATTGACCTCATTCTGAAGAAGGCATAAAAGCAAAGATTGTAGCAGGTGATGGAAATAACATGTAGATACGTGATGAAGGGAAAAGTCTTTCCTAACAGAGGAAATACCCATTGCAAGACTCCAAAATAGGAAGCTACTGCATATTTTGAAGAAGAGCATAAAGACTATTGTGGCTAGAGTAGAATGTGTGAGAAAAAAGAATAGAAAAAGTGGAAACACGAGAGGTAGCAGATACCATATCTAAGCCAACAGTAGGACTTCAGCTTGTATTTTGAATCAGGCGAAAATCCATTTAAAAGATTTGAACAATGGAATTCCTTGTCTCACTTAAGCTTGCTTTCTTGCTGGGTTTACTTGGGTTATATGGCAGGGAGTTTCTTGGGCCACATGCACCAGTGCTTAAGCAGTGCTCCTGTATCTGTGCTCAGGAGTTACTCCTGGTGGTGCTAAAGGACTGTATTCATGGCTGGAAATTTTAATCAGGGATGGTTACATGCAAGGCATGATAGTACCCTTTGTACTATCTCCTCGGTCCCTGACTTAGGTTTTAAAAGAATCACTAAGGTTGCTGTGATGGGTCCAGCTGTTGAAGGCAAGAGTGAAGTTGGAAAAAAAGGGGTTTGTTTTGCATTTATTCTGAAGGTAGAACCAATATCTTTCATTGGATTGATTAGATTTTGGATTTGAGGGAAAAATAAAGAGTCAAGAAGTACTGTGGAGTTTTAAGCCTGTGCTTGAAATAAATGAAGTTGTTAGACTGAGACGGAGAAGAATGCTAGGGGAGAGGTTTTGGGGGTGGCTATGTGAAGCTTACTCTGGATATGCTGAGTTTCAGAAATGTACCTGCTCTTTTGGAGCTATTTAAATAGAGAGATAGAGAAGTTCAGTTTAGAGGTTTAATAAGGAGTCTCTATTTAGGTGGTATTTTAGGCTGTGGAGCGATAGCACAGCGGTAGGGCGTTTGCCTTGCACGCAGCCAACATGGCCGACCCGAGTTCGATTCCTCCGCCCCTCTCGGAGAGCCCGGCAAGCTACTGAGAGTATCTCACCCGCACGGCAGAGCCTGGCAAGCTCCCCGTGACATATTCGATATGCCAAACACAGTAACAACAAAATCTCCAATGGAGACGTTACTGGGTCCACTCGAGCAAATCGACGAACAACGGGAGGGCCTTTACTTACTTACTTACTTCAGGCTATGGGATTGTGGAATCATCTGGGGCTTGAGTGAGATAAACTTGAGGAGAGGGCCAGGGTCTGAGTGAGGGATCGGAGAGAATAACAAGGGGAGACAGAGAAGGAACCACCAATATAGCTACAGCATAATTATGAGAATGTAGTGACCTGGAAGTCAAGTGAAGAAAATGTAG